TCAGTATGAAATAACCTTCTGCAGTCTTTCTAATACTTTTCAACCTAAATTCTATTTGTTTCTGATGTTAATTTTGCTACAGGGCACTCTTTTTTAAAATTTTTTTATTGGGAAACAGCCATGATCACCAATTACACAGTGCCCTCATGCCACAATGGCATAGTTGACTCTTCCTGGGAGGGCACAGCCCACAAGTGGCCCATGCGGAGATCGAACCGGCATCCTTGGCGCCATCAACACCATACTCCAACCAACCAAACTAACCACTCACCCCCAAACAGGACACTCTTTACTTTGCATTTGTTTAGTATGTCTTTTCAAGTCTCTTTCCACCTGTTTTATTTTTGATATGTTCCTCATAAATAGAATAAATATAGTAAAAAAATTTTTCCTATCCAATATACATATTTCTATATTTTATCAGCTTATGTCATTAAAATTTATTTTGATCACTAGTATATTTGTATTTATCTTAGTTATCTTAGTTCTTCTTTAATATTTACAAGAATTTCTTGTTCTCCTACCCTCTTTCTTACCTGTTTTTGGATTGGGTGCATTTCTTTTGCTCCATATTTTTTCCTTTGATACAATTGGAAATAATACTTTCTTCTTTTTTTCAGTTGAAACTGGATTTTTAATGAACATTCCTAGGTTTATATTGTTCTTTCAGTGTCTGGAGTCATTTGGTATCTTTTCCTAAGCTAAAATTGGCATTTGATTTTATTCCTCTCCTGCCTCTTTCTATTCCCTCCATAAACTATTTGAGTCCTTGTGGTCTGAAAATATTTTTATTTTATTTTCATACATGAATGAATATGTGGGTGTGTTTACAATTAAGGTTTAAAATGATTTTTCAGTTAAAATTTTGGATACTTGTTTTCATTGTCTTCCTACATGCATTGTCACATATAAAAATTCTAGTTTCCATCAGATTTTCATTCCTTGTAGGTAGTTGCATTTATTTTCTGGAAACTTTATAATTTGTTTGTAATCCTTGATGTTCTAGTCTTTCACGATAATATACCTAGGTGTGGGTTTTAAATATTCACTCTGTATACTTGATGGGCCTTTTTAATCTAAGGTTCTAGTTTCTGTTCTAAGAAATGTTTTTCCTCCTTTTATTTGATTTCTTTGTTCTCATTCTTTCTCTTCTCCCCTTCTGGAATTCCCTTTGTCAGAATGTTGAAACATCAGATTATGCAGCATATCTTATTTTTTAATATTCTCCATATATTCTTTTTTCTTGCATTCCAGAAAGAAACATGGCTATCTTTTCTTCAACTTAGTCTGTTCAGCTATTACCATGCCTATCTTTATTTTTAATAGTTTTAATGAGATATTATTTACAAAAGTTCACCTGTTTTAAGTGTACAATTCAATGACTTTGAATAAATTTATAGAATTCTGCAGCCATCACCATAATTCAAGTTTAGAACATTGTCATCACCCCAAAAAGTTCACTCATAGCTATTTGTAGCCAATCCATATTCCTATCCCCTGGACCCAGGTAACCACTAATCTACTTTATTTCTTTGCAGATTTCCTTTCTTCTGGAATTTAATATAGATAGAATCATACATTGTTTTGTCTTTTGAATCTAGCTCCTCTTACTGAGCATAATATTTTTGAGTTTCATTCATGCTGTAGCATGTATTAATATTTCATTCCTTTCTATTGCTAAATACTACTACATTGGCTGAATCAACCACATTTTATTTATTCATTTAGCCGTTGATGGACTTTTGGATTGTTTCCACTTTTTGACTGTTATGAAAAATACTGCCATGAATATTTGCGTACAAGTCTTTGTGTGGACATGTTTTCATTTCTCTGTAGATATCTAGGAATGAAATCACTGGGTCATATGTTGAACGTTTTTAAAACTTTCTTAAAGTGTTTCCAAAGGACCATTTTCTATCCCCACCAGCATGTATAAAGATTCCAGTTTTTCCACAGTCTTGCTAACACTTGTTATTTTATGTCTTTGATTTTAGCCAATGCACTACATATGCATTGGTATCTCATTTTGGTTTTAATTTGTTTTTTTCCTAGTGACTAATGATGTTAAGCATCTTTTCATGTGTTTATTACCTTCCATATATCTCTTTGAAGAAATAACTATTAAAATCTATTAAAATCAGTCTATCGTTTAAAAAAAAATTGGGGAATTGAGGAGGGGAACCAGCCAAGTTATTGTTCTTCAGTCTTAGTTGTGGAGGGTGCCAGTCGCCATCTGGCTGCCTGTCACCAGCTCATGGCCTCTAAGCTCAAGGTGCTGTTTTACAATCTTAGTTGTGGGTGGGTGTAGACACCATCCCATGCGGGAGTCAAACCAGCAGCCTTGTTGTTAAGAGCGCATGCTCTATCCACTGAGCCATCCTGCCACCTGTTGGCAGCTCAGCGGGAGCTCAGCTCAGGGGCAGCGTTACTGGCCCATGTGGGAATCCAACTGGCGGCCCTGTTGCTCAGAGCTCGCGCTCTTAAGCTAACTCTTAACCAACTGAGCCACTCAACTGGCCCAAAAGCAACCTATCTTTTTTTTTTTTTAAAGATTTTATTGGGGAATTAGGGGAGGGGAACAGACAAGTTGCTGTCCTTTTGTTCTTCAGTCTTGTTGTGGAGGACAGGACGTCGCTTCACTGGCCCATGTTGGTATTATCATTGCGCTCTTCCCGGCTGAGGCAGATCAGTCGCTGGCCTCTGGACAGCAGCTCACACTGGCTGCTGACCACTCATGCTGGCTGCTGTCCACTCACGGTAGCTTATGGCAGCCCACTGCAGCCCCCCTGCAGCCTACGCCGTCGCCAGTGACTCATGGCAGCCCAGCTCCAGGTTGAGCTGTTGTTCAGCATCTTAGCTGTGGAGGGCAGTGTCACTGGCCCTCATATGTGGGATCCGAACCGGGGCCCTCAACCAACGCGCCACTCAGCCGGCCCCTCTTGTATTTTCTTATTGGTGACTTTTGAAGCACAAATGATTTAAATTTTTGTTAAATTCAAATTTATCCTTTTATGGATCATTCTTTTGATGTTGTGGCTACCTTTTCTGTCTAACCCAAGGTAGAAAAGATTTTCTTCTATATAGTCTTTGAAAAGTTTTATCATTTTCACTGTTACACAGGACGCTACATAATTTGTGGAAGCCCATTAAAAATGAAAGTGGGGGAACCCTTGTTCACAAATCAGTAAGAATTTCAAAATCATGAAAGCAGAACATTAAAGCAAGCACAGGGTCTCTTTGACTGCATAGAACAGGATGCGTACCCACGAAGCTGTCCCAGCTCTTGCATTTCGGTCCTTGATCCCTGTTGAGTTGATTTTAGTGTATGGTATGAGGTAAGGGCATAAATTAATATTTTATCCAAATATGCTTTTTGAAAGTCTAGTTTTTCCTCATTCAATTTCCTTGGCAATTTTGTTGAAAATCTATTGACCAAAAACATAATGGTTTATTTCTTCACTCTCTATTCTGTTTCATTGATCCATCTATCTATTTTAATGCCAGTGTTATGACTATCTTGATTAATGTAGTTTTATAGTAATTATTGAAATCAGGAAGCATTAAGTCCTGCAACTTGGTCCCTCAAGATTGTTTTGGCTATTCTGTGTCCTTTGTATTTCCACATAAAATTTGAAGTCAGCTCATCAATTTCTGCAAAAAGGCCCTCTGGTATTTCGATAAGAACTGCACTGAATCTATAGATCAATTAGGGGAGAATTGCCACTTAAATGTATTGTTTTCCAATCCACGAACATGGAATGTTTCTATTTATTTAGCACTTTAATTTTTCTTAGGAATATTTAGTCATTTTCAGCATATAAGATTTGAATTCCGTTTGTTAAATTTATTCCTAAATATGTTATTCTTTTGCCTACTTTTTTTTAACTTGAAAACTTAGTTTCTAAATTTTGAAATTTCCCAGTTAATTGTTTTATAGAAATAATATTATCTCATAAGCTGTGGGATATTAAATATATTTATTCTAAAGTCTTATTTCTATTTCTTCTGATGTTATTAAAAATGATAAAGAAGAATCTAAAGGGACCGAGGTGAAACCCTGATACACTTCACTAAGCTAGCATTAACAGCCTGATATATAGTATTCCATGCCCTTCCCAATATTAGTTCCAAACTTTACACACACATAAAATATTGTTATGTTTGATTTGTATAAAAACGGGATCGTAACACATTAATCTGAAACTGATATTTTTATTGATCAATTGAACTGTGCCCTACCATCCAAATTTCTAGAAATAAATAGCTATGTACTATGCCAGCAGTATGGATTTACTGTAATTTACTCAACCATTCAGCCAAATGGACAATGAGATTGTTTTCAGATTTGGAAGTCAGTATTATTTATTATTGTTATATTCTTCTACAAAAAATGCTTATGGCCATCTAACCAACAAATATTTATTATTGCCTTGTGTGTATCAGATACTCAAAATAAATCAAGGGACAAAACAGACGAAATCCCTTTGCTGTGGCACATATGTATTTCAAAGAAGAGAGACAATGACTAAATAAACACTGTATAAAATACATAAATGATTAATTTGATATGTTAGGGAGTAATAGGGAATGGTAAAAAGTAATCGAGCTAGATTAAGTGGTAGGGACTACATGAGCAGAGTGGGGGCTGAGGCTTTGATTTCAAGTAGGTTGGTCAAAGCAGGTCTCACATGGAAGAAGGACCTTAAGGAGAGGAGGGAGTTGGTTCACTACATGGATATCTGGACAAAGAGCACACTACACAGAGGGACAGCCAGCACCACGTTTCTAGAGCTAAACTGTGCCTGGTACAGTCAAGAAACAGCGAAGAGGTGGTTTGACCAGCGAGAAGTGAGCTCCAGGAGAGGAGAGAAGGGCGGGGTTCTTTCAGGCTCCTCAATACTGTAAGGACTTGATTTTCCTCTGGGGGAAATTGGGGAGGCACTGAAAGCTCTGAAATTCTAGTTTCTATAAGATGCTTATTGATGTTTTTATTTCCATAGGATAGGTTCAAAAAGTGGGGCTGACTGCTAGGCCACTATGTAGTGCATCTTAAAATGTAGTAGATACGGCCAGACCTTTTCTGTAAAGGCTACAGCAATTCATGCTCACACCAGCAATGAATGTCCGTTTCTCTGATCGGCCACGCTGCAGTTTGTCAATTTAATGGGTGAGCCATGGCTTCTTATTGATGTTTTAGTTTGTATGTATTCACATGGTTATTGGACATTTTAATTTTCTCTAAGTGCCTGTTCAGGTCTGTTTTCTTTGGGGTTATTTGTTATATTTTATTAATAGGCTGGAGTCTTTCTATATCAGATAAATTAATCTTTTGTTATAAGGGTTGAAAGTATTTTTCTACATTGTTTTAACACCGTATTGTTGTTTTTTAACATTTAAATCTATTAAATCTTCCTCTACTTACTTTTTTTTTTTAACTGAGCCATCCTGCCACCTGTTGGCAGCTCAGCGGCAGTTCAGCTCTGGCCAGGCATCGAACCGCTGTTGCTCAGAGCTTGCACTCTTGAGCGAGCTCTTAACCAACTGAGCCATTCGACCAGCCCTCTCTACTTACTTTTTAAAAATATTTTTCTTGTCTGGCCTCAGATATTTATTCTGTCATATAAGTTTTTATATTATTTTATCCGATTTCAGTGGGATTACAAGTAGCAAGTGCACCACACTTTTAGAATAATTTCAGAATGATTGTTTTTCATTCTTATGCTTTCCTAATTAGGAGTACCTTATATATCTCCTTTTATTTAGCTCTTATTTAATTTCCTTCAATAAGATTTTATAGCTTTCTTCATATCAGTCCGTACCTTTCAGATATTTATAAATATATGTGCATGTGTCTGCTATTGTGTCTGAAGTGCTATTTTCTTTTCAATTTATGTTTTTCCAAATAAAAACTGTAAGTTTTATATAATTACTTTTTTACTCATGCATGTTGGCAAATTCTTTTTCTAGCTCTTATCGATTTTAGTTAGATCTCTAGAGTTTTTATGTATATAATCATAGGACATATAATGTATTTTATTTTAGTGTTTGTATCAATGACTTCATTTTCTTATCCTATTGCATTAGCTAAAACTTCTAAAATCATATATAAAACAGTGATGGTAATGATAGGCATCCTTGTCTTTTTTCTTTTCTTTTTTTTTTTAAGATTTTTATTGGGGAATTGGGGGGTTGGGAACAGTGCTGGGGAATTGGGGGAAGGGGAACAGACAAGTTGCTGTCATTTTTGTTCTTCAATCTAGTTGTGGAGGACGTCGCCTCACTGGCCCAAGTTGGCACCGTCATTGCTCTCTTCCCTGGTGAGGCAGATCAGTCGCCGGCTTCTGGAAGGCCGCTCACTGCGGCTGCTGGCCGCTCACGCTGGCTGCTGGCTACACACGGTAGCCCATGGCAACCCACTGCCACAGGGGCTGCAGCCTACGCCGTCGCCGGCGACTCACGGCAGCCCAGCTCCAGGTTGAGCTGTTGTTCAGCATCTTAGCTGTAGAGGGCAGTGTCACTGGCCCTCATATGTGGGATCCGAACCGGGGCCCTCTGGCATCCCAAGCGAGTTCTTAACCATCGCGCCACTCGGCCGGCCCATCTTTTTTTCTTTTAAATGACTATCATTCCAATGTGTACTATAATATTTGTTATTTTTGGAGACTATATTGTATTAGCTTCTATCTATTTCATTGAGTTTTTATAAAAATAGCTGCTAGGTCTTATCAAATTCCTTTTTACAACCGTTTAGTGATATACTTATACTCTTTTTTTTCCTGCTTTTGTTTGTTGATGTAATAAATTATTTAAAGAGATTTCCTCATGTTGAACCATCTTTACTCTTTCTCATTTCATTAATTTTCTTTTTCTCCCCTTTTTTTTGAAATAGCCTCTAACCACAAGTCTCATTTCATCTTTGACCCAACACAATACCATTTGTTTTGTTTTTAAAGTCTCTAGGTGGTTTATTTTTTTTAACATGCAACCTGTTTAGCTTCTACTGATGACAACTTAGTGAGACTTTTTTTGTGGCCAAGTTTATATCCCATACTGATAAACATTTCAAGGACATTGAAAATAGTATTCATTTTTTTAGGTCATAAGATTAAATAATAAATAATTCTTGCTCCTCTTTCCAGAGCCTGTGTATTTTGATCTTTTTTTTTTTTGCATGTGGAAAGTCAAAAACTAGAGATGAATTGATTTTCAAAATCCATAAAACATTAGTCTCATTATTTGTTTCTTGAATTTTGCTTTGATATGGAAATGAATACCTTCATTTTTTGTTTTGTTTATTTGAATACCTTAACTTACCTATCATTGATTTTAACAAATTTTGTGTCACTTCTTCTTTCTTGTATCTCTCCTTGGGTTCTACTTTTGATCCTGTACCTACCAATATTATCATTTTTTTCATTTTCATTTAGTGTTTTAAATAATGTATTTTTCATACTGCTTTTTGTCTGTTTTAACTTTTAGAACCCCTATTGTTTTCCTTGTGTTTTTCTCTTAAAAAATGCTAGCTATGTTGCCTTTTAATTTTATTTTTTAGTGTTTCATAAGGTTTTATAGAGTCTGATTTTGCTCAACCAGTGATTATTTTCAATGTTTTGACATGATTTTAATCCATATTTCTGTACTTTAGTGCTGAATTTGAAATCACCTTGTTCAAATTTTTTGTATATTTAAAAAAATCATTTAACCCAAATGTTCTTTCCCATTCAGCTCAAGACTTTAAAAAGCCAGTTTTATAAAACATGTGCATAACTTCTATATTGAAAACTATAAACAGTTCTAGGCAAAATTAAGGAAAACCAAATAAATGGAGAACTATACAATGTTAACAGATTGGAGCTCAATGTTGTGAAGATGTCAGTTCTCACCAAATTTATCTATAGGTTTAATGCAAAAGGTTATAAAAATCCAAAAGTCTTTTTTTTGTATAAATTCACAGGTTGATTTTAAAAGATATGTGGAAAACCAAAAGACTTAGAAAAGCCAAGGCAATCTTTGCCTAGCTGACTTCAAGACTTTCTATAATCTATAGTATTCAAGCTGATGTGCTCTTGTCATAAACATAGACTAATAGATCAATGGTACAGAATTTAAAAATCCAGAAATATACTAATGCTTATGCTATAAATGGTTTTTTGAATATTTTCATTAGCTTTGGGTAGGCAAAGATTTTCTAGAATGCTAAAGTTATTAACCACGAAAGAAAAAAAGAATAGATTTAGTTTCATCAAAATTAAAAATTTCTCCTCATCAAAAGACAAGGTTAAGAAAATGAAAGGCAAACCACAGACTGGGAGAAAATGTTTCTAATACATAAATCAAGCAAAACACTTCTTTCCATAATATATAACAAACTCCTACACATCAATAAGTAGGAGAAGACAGCCCAATAATTTAGTTGTTAATTTAGATGCATGTTCAAGGTTAGATTCTATTTTTATTCCATTGTTTTTTATTGCTCTGTGATTGACCTGTTTACTCGATCTCAATCTTGTACAACTTAAATTTTTTTAATTAAAAGCAATTTCAGATACCTAAAGATATCTTTATAATGGCTTTGATTGGGCCAGACTGGGCTGAACTTGTGTTTAAGTCTTTCTTAACCTCCATACTTTCTTCCATTAAGTCTTTGTTTATTGCTTCAATTCTATTTATTCTACTTTCTACTCAGGACCACGTATTTTATATATGCTGGTTCTTCACAGCCTATCTTTTATCTGTAGAATCTTACAGCCTCTACAAGTATCTCAGAATCTTGATGACCATTTTCACATAATATCCTTCCTCCCTAGGATGTCTACAGAAGACCAGGATATAGATGACAGGCTTATCCATGAGACTGTATTCAATCACTTCAAAAGACATAAGATTGAGATTTCAAATACAATAAAAAAGACTTTTCCTTTCCTTGAGATTCTTCGTGACCGTGAACTCATCACCAACAAAATGTATGAAGTAAGTGAGTTTTATTATGTCACAATCACTTAATAGCCACACAAATATATAGAAATTTTAGAACTTTACATGAGAAGATACCTATGTAGGGAAATTGTAATACATTAACAATCAAATCACTTTGTAGGGCTCTTGTATAACAAAGTCTGCATTTACAATTTCTCCATTCAATGTTTTTTAAGGATTGTCAAGAGTCTTGTAGAAACCTGGTCCCTGTACAGAAAGTGGTGTATCATGTTCTCTGTGAACTGGAGAAGACATTTGACCTGCCACTTCTGGAGGCATTGTTCAGCGAGGTCAACATGCAGGAATACCCTGACTTAAGTCACATTTATAAAAGCTTCGAAAATGGTAATTGGGTTTATTATCTACCACTTGATGAACTGGGCCAATTTTTTTTGACAAGTATATATTTAGCTCCTACCATGTACCTCACATGGTAATGGGGAGTGAGAATACAGCAGTTAAGAAAACAGACATATCATGAACCTTCTCAAAGCTTATGACAGCTATTAAAATGGCTATTGACACAACACCCACGCGGAGATCTGCTTAACCAGGCATTTAGACTCACAAGACAGCCACAGTGGGATCAGATTTACTTAGAAGGACAAATGACAGGAAACACAGCATCTCAGTATGGCAGCATCAGCTGCTCCTCCTCAGTGGGACCCCTTGCAGCGATCCACACAGCAGTCCTTCAAGTTGACTGCCACCTTCCTTGAGTGACAGCTTGGCTGTGGGTGCAGGATCTACACTGGCATAGTAGCACCATACCCATGGGCGTCAATGTCTCATGTAACAACTCTGTAGTCATAACTTCCAGGAGCCCCACGAGGGACAGCCACGTTACAAGAGTCACCACACTGAAGGAAGACCAAAAATGGCTGATAGTTCACATACAGTCCCTCACAGGCCACACACATGTTATCTACCTACAATCACAGGTCACTCACTTTTCACCCTAAACCCAGTGTTGGCCTAGAAACACAAAAGAGAGGCCACCTTTATCTGGTGTCCAGAGTAATGAGCAAGAAAGTTAACCCCAGGTCAAATTTGCTCTTAAAGAAGGAGAAATGATCATATTAGTTCTTTCTCCACAAGGGGTGAAACAAACAATCAAATAATCAGAAAAACCAATTGCTCCACCCGAGACTGTTTTTGACATTATATAAAACTGAAGGTGTGATTCTTGACATTTCCTGAAAAGGCGTACTTTGTACTTTTTAATGGTACCCAGTTAAGATAATGCTCTACTATATCTATATCTAATCTATATTTATATATAATCGATAGATAGATAGATGATAGATTAGATAGATAGATAGATAGATAGATAGATAGATAGATAGATAGATAGATAGATAATTTACTTGCCTAAGTAAACTTTTTATTCCAGTGGCATCTCAGTAAAATTCTCCTAATAAGGGATAGAGACATCACAAGAAAAATGGTCACATGTCCTGAAGAAGGTAGATGCTATGTGATCAGATGTAGAGTGTAAAATGGACAGTGTGTATTCAAAACAAGGACAAATTTGATTTGGCTCAGTCGGAGAGTAAGAAGTAGACTGTAGGAGCTGATTCAAGAGAGATACATTTGAAGATAATTTTAGAAAGTCTAGTATATAAAGCTAAGTAATTTGAAGTTTATTACTAGGCAATGAAGAGATACTAACAGGTTTATAAGCAAGGAAAAAATTTTAAAGCAGGTACAGAACAGTTGGCTTGTTGATTTGTGTCAAAAATAACCCTATTGAGCTAAGAAGAAAATCATTTCTACAGCGAATCATTCAGTCAGAAAAAGAATAAAGGAACTCAACTATTTAGTCACAAATTTCTGGTTAATGTTATATTTGTAACCAGGATGTACCAAGGTATGTGTAAGAAGGGAAAGGCAATTACCTTTACTTCCTGCATATTAGGGGCTCTGATCCTCTCCATGTACTGTGGGGACCCTCCTCCCCAAGCTCCAGCACCCAAATCACACCTCAGTTTCTGGAGCTCCCTGTGCTGGGGTGACCAACACCTATAACCGCTGCCACCCACCTGCCCCTGAGGAAGGTCGCAGCTGCTGCATCTAGAGCCTGGTTGTCCATGGGACCTGCGGGGCAACAGCCCAAATTCAAGCAGCTAAGAACTGTGGTCTGGGGCATGACACTTTCTCCTGCTGCCTGGACCCAACCTTCACCTTGTGCGCAGATCCCCTGACCCCCCAGGGCAACACCTGCACTGGTTCTCCTTCATGTTTTCTGGGCTGTAGGCCCTTTATTCTTCTCATACCTTCCATCTGATTTTGCTGGGATTTGTAACCATGTCAAAGCATCCATGGATCCCACGGTCCTGTCCATCTCCCAACCAATAGGCATTGTCCCAGGAGGAGCTCCCACCATCAGCCCTGGGACAGTGCCACCTCACCTCTTCGCATGGTATCTTCCCATCCCTGGACTCCCCACAGAGACCCATTCTCAGCTTTCTTGGATTATTTCCTTCCTCCTTACATTTGCTAGGTCACCATGCAGGGGCTCTGGGCTAGTGCCCTGGCCTGCCCTCTCTGGCAGCCTCCCAGGTCCCTGGTCCAGGCGTCTCTGGGACGTCCCCCCAGCACCACAATGTGCACTCCTGCTTTAGGCTTCAGAGAGTGTCCGTCCTTTGTTCCTGGGATCTGGGCCCCCCCGGAAGTCTGTCTAGTTCCTCTGGTTTGTCCCCTGGCATCCCTTTGGGACGTGCTCATCCTCCCTGACCCAATTAGGTCCAAACCTCCTCTTGTCCAGCCCCATCTTTAAAGTTGGGCTTCCTCTTTTATACACGTGGAGCTCACTAGGATCCTAGTTCCTCTACCAAAAAAATCTCCTTATTTTTTCCTTAGAGTTTGAACAGTCAGAAAACACATTTTGCTTCCAGTATGTATTTTGATATGTGCTTTCCCAGCCATCTGAATCTTTTTCAGTGAGTAACTGGCTCACGATGTATCCATGACTTCTTCATCCTGACACTTGAGTGGCCCCCCTCTGTGTGGGAGATCGAAAGACTCCCTTGTTGGGGATCCTCCTTTCTGTCCCAGAATTGAAGGGGGGTCTTGATCATGAGGATTGGGACCCATTGAGCTCTGAGTGACCTGAGGGCTTGGAATTCCTAAACATGTAAATTTGAGATGTTGTCTGTGGTCGCTGATGAAGACCTTTAATTGTCTTCTCTCTTCCTATCTTCAGTGATCCAAGAGAAAATTTGTCCTCAAGAAAATGATGAAGAAGAGAGTGGGGACAGGACTAATATCCCAATAAACCTTGAACAAGGTGACTGTGATCAGATAAAACTGATTCTTATCTGATAAGAGGAAAGGAGAAAGGGAGGTGGGGTCCTGAGTCCTGAGTGGAGACTGGGGACCAGGGACAAAACATGGAGGAGCATGGAGAAGGCTGGGAGGGGTGTTTGTGTGAACGTGTGACCAGAGTCTGATCCTGGAGGCGGGGCTTTGACAAGAGACCACAGGCCAGGTGACAAAGTCAAAGGAACAGGAATCCAGTGTTTCAGTCAGGAAAACAGATTTAAAGAGAATGATGACCTGGAAGTAATTGTGGTTTACAAGGAATCTTAGGAGAAGACCAGTATGAAACTGTGAAGGGCTAAGAACTATGGGCCCAAGGTCAATATCAAAGTGGAGACCCTTGATGATCACAGATGAAGGGACTGATTTAAATGTGGGGGATGATGTTCAAGAGCAGGAATATTTAAAGAGAAAGGCAGTTATTTAGAGAGAAAAGACAAGGAGTGGTAGAGATGTGGAGACGAGAATGTGGGTACTTTGAAAAAAGGAAGGAGGGGAAATGAAAGACGAGGAAAAGGGGCAGAAAACACAGTAAAAACATCCACATTGAAGAGCTCACTTATTGAATGTTCACTCTGGCAGTTGTGGTTTAGTGCTCACACTACCATTAGGGGTTAGTATTACTTATGTGCCCATTTTGCAGACAAGGAAACTGAAATCAGAGAGATAGGTGTGTGGGTTAAATGAGCAGGGACAGACCCAGGCATTCTGAACCCAGAGCCTGTGTTCTGAACCCTGGATACACCCAGATAATCTCATGGAAAAGACAGAAACATGAGACCAAAAGAGGGAAACATTTGCAGAGAGAGATACAGAAAGGAGAACACCAGGAGCTGGAGGAAGTGGAGGAGAATCAGACACTGAACCTCAGGCAAAGGCCAGCAAGAGAGAGTGAACAGAATGCAGAGGGAGGGTGTGGTGTGAGGGGCGGGGGGCGAGGCACCAGGACTCTGTAGGAAGTAAGGTACGGCCACTGTCAGGGGCAGCTCTGGGGACAAAGGCAGGATTGCTATGGCCATGGGGTCAAGAAAAGCCATTATTGGTTATCTAGGTGGTTCCTGGAGGACTCACAGTGAGGTGGCCTGAGGCAGGGGGTGCAGCTGATGGCAAGAGTCGTGTGGGATACTCCAGGTCCAGATGGGCTCTGTATTGACACCTGGAGGGGGTCTTCAAGTTCTACTTTATGAAGATTAAAAAGAGATTAGTGGAGAGTGGCACCTCTCACACTTCAATTTCTGAGAAACTTTCTAATTTCTGTCCCCTAGGAACTGGTGGAAAGGCGTTTCAAAGCCTGACCTGGCCGGGCCCAGATCTCTCGAATTACAATGGTCTGTTCCTTTTGAATGTTCTGTGATTCTTTGCTGTTCTTATCCCCTGCTAAAAGATACTGCAGTGGGAAAGCTGCTTCTTTTTAGTACTGATTGCCCAGAATTATCAGTCTTTGCAGCCTCATTTTATTGAAGAATTTAGATAACAGAGACTACAAGCTCTGGTTTGTCACTCAGTTTCATCATCTATAAAATGGATGTGATAATAGTACCTACTTCACAGGGTGATGGATTTGAAACAATTTCTGTCTTGTCAAGCATTCACTCTCATGCCTGGTGCTTCCTCGGTGTTCTGTGCATTTGCTAATATTGCTGTTCAATGATCATTAGTATGTATATCTGGTACCACAGTCTAAGCCTTTAACCATGACAACAAAGTGGGGGATTTTCTCTGCTCACATATGAACTTTGTGGATTCAATTATCCCCCAGGCTGTGAGCAGTGATAAAAGCAATACCAACCTCAACTCCAGCAAGATAAACTGAGGGCCATGGGTCCCCGTCCTTAGAGCACAGTATAATGAACTTCATGTATTTATTCCATGACTCTTGTTTGGAAATGAGTGACATGGAAGAGTCTCAGGGAACTTCGGGCACCGTGAAAGGTCCCTATTATGTAGTTTCCAGTGGGATGTATTATTTAAGAAGGATGTTCTATATTAGTAATACAGTTTTATATTTAAAAAAAAAACTTTTGGAGTAATTTTTGAAAGCATAGTTATACTTTCAGCAAATCGCATTTATTCAAAAAGTTAACATCTACAAATATCTTTTAAAATGCATAAATCCATGTTAACTATTTATTTACCAGTGCAGCTGGTGGGGACAGGAAGGGGTGAATGGAATGAACTGTGACTAGTAATGAGCGCAGAAAAAGGATCCAGGCTGTGTGTGGAGGGCGTCGGGGGAGGAGGCAGTGACATTATAACTCATGATGTGGTCTGGGGGTTGCCCCGCCTGGAAATGAAATCCCAGAGCATCTCAGTAAAGGGCAGCAATGAATAGAAAGAGAAATGTCAACCTACAACCAAAACGATGCATAAAAAGACACCAATAACTGTGTCCAAGAGTCTGACCCAGCAGCGACAGCTGACTGTGATATGCACGGATGAGGGAAGGGCTGTGCCTCATGCCCACCGCCCCAAGAGGAGGCTCCAAGGAGCTGTGAATGTGACAAAATCACACACCAGGGCCCACATTCTATGTTAAAATTGGGGGAATTAATTTTTAAATCATACTTTACATCAATTCCTTTGTTTCAAAAATAGCACTAAATGAAAAAATCCAAATGCGCTGAGAAAATATCTGTCCATTCATACACTACTGAGGTTCGTGGAAATGACGGCATGGGTCAGTGGATCGATAATGAGCAGAGGGGGTTGCCGTGGAGGAGGGGGTGTGCTGGACCTCGGTGGTTTGCACAGGGATTCATTCCTTACCGTTTCCTGCTCTGCTTTGCTTCTATCTCTGACCACTGGCCCCTGCAGACTTGCTTGCCAGCTCTTTTGCTTGCTGGCATCCTGCTGGCTTCCAAACATGGGAGACACTGCCAGCAAGACAGACGAAGCCAGGGAGGAGCCGAGTATTTCCCTGCCGCTGCCTCATGCAGCAATTCTGGCAGCAGCTGCATCTCACCCGTGACACCACCTCCCACCAAGCAGGCCAGCCATGGTCCAGCTTCTACCTACCTGGTGACCTCAGAACATGAGCTCGCCCTTTGTCGCTCCTATAGCTTCCTGTTGACTGTTCTTCAAGTTGCCGCATTCTTCCACTTGGGCTTCTCAGCATGTCTATCAACTGTGTAACCAATCCCCTGGATCAAATTCCCTCTGCTTTAAAGCCTTAGAGAGGTTTATATTTTCCTGTTGGACCCTGATTGATGCAGGAGTCAAACAAAATATCTCTGAATCAAAACGTGGTTTAGGTACAACCCCACCTGAAAGCGAACACTCAGAGCACCTCAGTGAAACAGAACAGATAAATACAAGAAGAAAAGATACAACCAGTGACAACAATGAGGCACTAGAAAGCCAACAAGCAAGTGAACAATGTGCCCAAGAGCCTGAGCCAGCAGGTAAGCCTGAGTGACTGGGTTTGATGAGTGTAGGGACCAAGGGATACTTGCTGGTCATAGACAATGAAGTGATGCACATCTTCACAGTAAATTAGCAAAAGCAATGAAGAAAAGGAGACATCTATTAACAAAGAAGGGGAAATCTCACAGGCACACAACTTGCAGGGTTTCAGGCTGATATAGTGATAGCAAAGAACTGCAGAGAAAGAGAGAGAGAGAGAGAGAGAGAGAGAGAGAGAGAGAGAGAGAGAGAGATGAAAGAAAGATAGGAAGGAAGGAAGGAAGGAAGGAAGGAAAAGAAAAAGAAAGAAAGAAGAAAGAAAGAAAGAAAAAGAAAGAAAGAAAGAAAGAAAGAAAGAAAGAAAGAAAGAAAGAAAGAAAGAAAGAAAAATAATTAAGAGATGAAGGGTGAAGAACTAGAGCCTCATGGGGAAGAGAGACAGAAACAAAAGTCAAAACAAGTCAGGGAGACATTGACCTTGGAATCAATAAAGCACACTTTCATGGGTGGGGGTGACAATATATGCAGACAGGCTATAAGTAGGCACACGAGAGGAAAAGAGAAACTGGGTGTGGTGAAACAAAATGGTGACAGGACACAGCAAAGCTCTGTTGAATCTAAGCTGCTGTCTTTTTTATCTCCAGACTCCTGTGAACAAGCGCCCAGCCAAGTGAATAATGGAGGTGCAAGATCAGAGACACCTAGCCCATTGCACTGTGATGAACACAGTAATTATTACCTGCCTTGCCAATTTTCTAACTATAACTTTGTTTTTCCATGAGAGCAAAAGCTTTCCTTTGTTCTTCTATACTAACCACCTCCCCCGCCCACCTTAACACCACCCAAGACTAACAACCTTGTGCATAGCCTCTGCAGGTATGAGATGCAAGGGAGAAAGAGAGCTCGTCTTTTCATGGAGGGGGTGTCCCTGGGGGGAGAAGGCAAAGAGAAAGGCCATGGAATAGGTGGATTGGGGGACACCAAACAAAGCATAAGAGTGAGATAGATTTCAGGTAAATTGGCATGGAATTTAAACAGTGCCATGTTGTGAAGTTGGTGAAAAGAAATAAGTTGCCACTTGGCTTTTAGAAGTTAGAAACATGGAAGTCATGCATGATGCTGCTGGTCAGCTTCACCTGGAAGCCCAGGTGAAGGGGCCTTAGAAATGAGGTGGCAGGTGGAGGAATCTGAACAAGGGCACAGGGGAAGAGCTTTGGTGATGATCTGAGTGCTTGAGATGAGGGAAATATGTGGAAAGACAAAATAATATGAAAGAGGCATACACAGGTCACACTGATAATTAAGAAATAGGGTCACAGGCCGGCCTAGTGGCTCATTGCTTAAGAGTTTGCTTGGGAGGCTGCTCTCTGATCAGCAGGGCCGCCTGTTCAGATCCCACATGGGGCCAGTGATGCTGCGCCCTCTATAGCTAAGATGGTGAACAACAGCTCGACCTGGAGCTGGGCTGCTGTGAGCCACCGGTGATGGCATAGGCTGCAGTGGGGCGGCGGTGGGCTGCCGTAAGCTCCTGTGAGTGGCTGGCTGCCGGCGTGAGCTGCTGTGAACCACTGTGAGTGGCCGTTGAATGGCTGGGGACCATTCTGCCTCAGCTGGGAAGAGCGCAATGATCACAATATCAACATGGGCCAGTGAAGTGACATCCTCCTCAACTAGACTAAAGAACAAAAGGACAACAACTTGTCTGTTCCCCTTCTCCGATTCCCCAATGCTGTTCCCTCCCCCCAGTTCCCCAATAAAATTTAAAAAGAAAAAAGAAAGAGGGACAGATTGGAACAAAGTAGAAAACATAACAGGATAAGCTGACAAATCTGGTAGGAGACAGCAGAGCAGGCCTAGAGTGAGGCAAGGGAGACCTTAGGGCACAGGTAAGGAGGATCTCACTCTTGGCTCCTTCTTGTGTCCCAGGCACCTCCTTTGCCTCCACCCTACACCCTGCTGAAGCCTGGGGGCAGTGATAAAAAATGTAGAGGAAAAGAGAATGAATACAGAAAGAAACAGAGGAAAGTGAAACCAATGAATAGAAAATTGGGGGGAGGCACAAAGAGAACTGTGTAGATAATAGGTAAAGGACAACGGAAAATTGGTAGAGATCAGACAAATCAAGACATTGTTCTATTTGAGGACACAGTCTCAGTAAAGAAAGCACAAGGGGCTGTTTGTAACACATTGAATAGGGTAAGGTATTCACAATGATTGAAATGGCCCTGGAACCCTATCCAATAAAAATAGGCCCCTTTCCTGGCATCTCATTCTCTCCATGGCTTCAGTCACCATCTATACTCTGGTGATTTCTAAACAGGCATCTCCAGCCCAGACCCATCATCTAGGCTCATTCCTCCACGTGTCTGATGATCTTTATTGGAAGATCGTATAAACATCTGTATTTGGAGGCTGTGTCAGTTATCTACTGCTGAGTAATAAACAGTCCCAAAACTTAGTGAATGGAAACAACCATGATTTTAGTAGCCGCACTCTCAGTTCCAACATTAAAATATCTCTGACCTGTCCATGTTTCCCATCCCCAGCACACTCACCCTCATCCAGATCCCTGTCACTCTTCAATAGGAGAACAATCTCCTTCCTCTTGCCTTGCTCCCCTCAGATCCATCCTCTGCATTCAGCTCAATGTATTTTTCAAAAATTCAAAGCAGGTCAAATGGCTTTCCTGTTTAAAACCTGATGCACTCTTGTGGTCCTCAGCATTTGGTCCATGTTGCATGGCATGGGGTATTGAAAGACACCTACCACACGCTGCATGTTGCCCCATTCCTTTCCTCTCACTCCCTCATGCCATATTCCCAACAACAAAACTCCATTGACTTGCTTGAATTTGCTAAGCCCTCTCAACTAAATCTGTGAGATTACGTGTGTTTTTGGAAAATAGTTTGATATAAACTTCCAATGGTTTTATTTTTAATGGATACTTTCTATAAAAAAAAATACTACACAGCAGTGAAAATAAATATACAAAATGAACACAGATGACTGCCACACACATAATGTTGAGAAAATAAGTCAAATTCCCACAACCAAATGACAGAGAGATAAAGGGAGAGAGAGAGAATACATGATTCCACTTAAACAAATTTATATACATTTGTGAATTGGCAAAATTAATCATCTGTGATGTTAAAAATCAAAGTTGTGGTTCGCTTGAGCAAGGCCAGTGGGGACAGTCAGCGGGAGGCATCCCTAAGGGGCTCTGGGTCTTAGTAATCATCTATTACGTGACCGAAGTAAAGGATACTCACATATGCTTCCTCTGTGTTCATTCCAAACGTACGAGTTACACATTTTTATCTATGTAGTTTCACTGCAATTATAATTTTTATTTTTGAAAAAGAAAAAAAAATCATGAAAGAATGAGAAGAGTAGGTAAAAAGAAAGTAAAAACAAAAATAAAAACAAAAACACACAAAGCTAAGAGAGGCACAAAGAAAGGGACAGAGTTCAGCAGAAGGAAAGGAAAGGGTGAAGGTAGAGTTTCCTCCTGTAGTGGAAATAGAAGAAGGGCTTGTTAATGGCAGTGAGGGGGGCTACTCTTTTTTGGGGAGACAAATAAAATTCTTCATTTATTACAATTTTGTCCAGGAGTGAAGCTACCCAACCATGAAATCAAAATTAATTCCTGTTCTGTATATCTGGTGGATATAAAGAAGGAAAAGCCATTTTTTAATTCAGAAGATGAAAGGCAACCCCAAGCAAGGACTAACCGTAACCAGGCATCTGAAATAATAGGTAAGGCGGATGGAAAGAACGTGCAATGTGAATCCCAGGTAGTGGGCAAGAGTCTGGGACACGTCATCACAGTCCACCGAGGAGATCCAGGTGACCTTGGACGGAGGCAGAAGGGGAAGCAAAGCACTGCCTTATGCAGTGAGTTTAGCAGAAGAGGGTTTGCAGATATTGGAAAATTACCAAAAGACAGAAATCGCAAATATAAGTATTGATGCCTGAGAGCACTCTTTCTAAAGCAACAGAGGAAATTATGGGAGTAGAAATTAAAGAGAAGGGAAAAAAATTGAAGAGCCAAAATACACATGACAGGAGATGGAGAAAGAAACACATAAAGACAGAGAGAGGTATAAAGAGAATCCATTGCCAGAAAGACAGGCATACTTAGGGAAATGGGCCGAGCCAAGAGGAAAGTGAAGTAAAATGAGAATAAAAGAAAGAGGTAGAATGAGGGTGGGAGTAGGAATCGGTGCAGGATGTGCAAAGCTGCCCTCTGTGTATGAATTTCCTCACCTTTTGTGTAGGACCTGGAGCAACCTGCAGGTCACACACATCCAGGCACAGGCCTGGGTGACCTGAGTGCACAGCTTCTAGGTCTTCCTGGTGCTCTAGTTATGGGGTTTCCTGTCTGTGGGCTCCTTGGCGCCACCCTGAGAACCTAAGGGTTTTGCTCCTCTGTGCAGTGATCAGCAGTGATGACTCTGCAGAATCCAGTGATGGAGACGAGCCCCCAGAAACCATTCCATGCAAAAGAAGGAGGCTTGGTAAGGAGGTGGGAGAGAAAGGCTTGGGCTGCAGGAACCTGAATTAAGAGCTACTGTTTCCTGAGGCATCTTGTTCTGAGCCCCTTCTGTACCATGGATCCGGTTCATCATAGAATCATATTCTCTGCATTTATTTTACTGAGTCGTTTTGGGAAATACAGGGAAATAAGACATCATTATATACTATATATAGTTTATTCTTGAGGGTGAGGCCTATTAATCAATGCGTCCTATTAGTCAACATATGTACCCTGTGTTGATTGTGTAGTAGAAATAAGCTAGCAATGTAATGAGTTTGTTTTAAAACTAACTAGTTTCTATGCCTATAAAGTGTGGGATTTCTACAGTGATTTCTACAGAGAAGAGAGGGCTAAATATTCCTTTATTGGAGGTTCATATTGTCATCTAATCACAAACTTTGAATAGTGTCAAAAGACAACTCATCCACCTATCTATTTTTCTGTCAGTAGAAATGGCTAAGTGATTTTGAAACCCAAAGTGTTGTTTTTCACAGATTCCTTCAGCAAGTCATGACATACATAGCGGTTTTCCAAAGGACCTTTACAAACAGCATCTTACTTTTTCCTTTACAACAACCCTGAGGGGTAAGCAGGATGGACATCATTACCCTTGTTTCTAGATGAGAAAACACAATCACATAAATGTTTCAGGTCTCTACAAAGTCCCATGGAGACAGAGGGAAAGACAAGACCAGCGTCCCGGATTCTGAGTTATTTCCTTTGTAAAATTAGAGCTCGAAAAAGTCATCAACTCTTGTTTGCTGAAGCCTATATGCTGCATGAGTTGCCACAAGACCTGTCGCTCTGTAGTGCACAAATTGGTGATTTCTTTTCCCTTCCTACTTTCTCAGAGGACATTAGAAACAAGCCTATTTAGGGAAACACACTAGAAAAACACTTAAGAACAAATAAAATTTTTACCTGATCTTGATGTTACAAAACACCAATGCTTTAAATAATACATTCATTCTAATTTCTCCACTAGATCTATGAAAGTAACATGTAAATTTGCTTCCATTTCTAGAGAGTGCACATTCTAACTTGTGTCTTAGTGTCGGCTAACTGCTCTGAGAGGTAGTTCCAAAATAGGTCTACGGAACAGACACAAGAGCAGGTTATTTCTGAGCCTTGCAAACAGTTCAAAGGGGCAGCAGGGGATGGAGGAGGCTCCCCATCTTCAACACAAGATTTCCAAGGTCTCCCAGCATGAGAAATAGCAGATGAAGGAAGTGTGAAATGACGATCTAAGGGGTAAGAGGCAGAAGGGAGGGAAATGTAGGAAGGTCAGGTACAAATAGGGCAGAGGTGCCCCTGCCAGTGAATTGTCTCTGCTCTGGGGACAGGATGGCCCATCACTAACCTACAAGGCTGGTGACTGGAAGGGCAGACCAGGGAAGCCTGGGTGCAGGCCATGATTTACATGGGGTTTCAAGATTCTTCCACGTTTTATTTGGGACTTTCCTGCTGAATCCATTCCTTGGTCACACACTGGGACACCTAAAGCATCCTGTTCCTTGTGCAGACGTCAATAACCTTGAATCATCAGAATCAAGTGAGGGGGAGGACACCCATGAAGCCACCCGCTCAGGACCCCAGATTTCACCAGGTAAGAATATTAAGATTGAATTCCTGGACAACAAATATTCAGAGTCTAAATCTAGAGCTCTCTGTTCCTGATTAATCTTATCCTCACATTCTCCATATACCTTAATTCTATTATTTCTAGAATATTATATCCTGCAGTAACATCTCTACCCCTTTTGGGAAGTGGAAAGAGACAAGAAGGCATTATAAACTGTTGTTTAACTGGACGATCCCAATTGATTGATATATTGAAAATGTAGCAAAAATATTCTAATAAAATGACACTTTTTACTACGTACCATCATATGTATTAATGCTAAAGAGTTGAAATAATATACTTATTTTCCAGCAACATACTTTATATTCTATGGAGCATAGTAAGCACAGTATTCCTTTGTTGATAATATTGTCTTTAGTCTCTAACTTAGAAAGTCTTTAAAGAATAATTTGTGCTTTTATTTGATTATTGATGGAGAAATATTATAGCTTCAGACCAACTACTCTCAAACCCAAATGACAGTTAAACCATTGGCTTACACTGTGATTTTTCACAGGGCTGTTGTAAATAAAGGTTCATTTCGCTTTGCCAGAAACCTTAACAGGGAGATAGGGTAACAAGGTCATCCCAGTTTTATAGATAAGGAAGCTGAAAATAGTAAAGTTTATGGGTCATTTACAAATTCACATGAAGGGTAAAAGGGAGAGAGAGAAAGCCGCACTATGTCCTGAGCACCAGAACTGGATTCATTTGAAGAAATGAGAGGGAAATGATCATCTCAACATCCATATTTTCACAAATCCTCTCTGCTGTGTGAGTTGTCATAGAATTTATAAGACTTTTGTGTATAAATAGCTGTTTCTTCCCTTTGATTTTACAGAGCCCATGGATATCAGAAAATCACCTACATGCAGGAAAAAACTTTGGAAAGAAGGTAAGAGTAAATAAGTACTCTTCGTAGTTATAAGTGAACAGTGTTTTCTACAAAATATTCACTCTAACTCTTTTTTATGTCTTTCAAAGAATATACAAATTTGTTTTCATTTTAACCGGCTTGGACTTTAACTTTTGTATTAGTTACTTAGGTTAATGGCTATAACATACAAACACAAAGAAGACCAAGACTCAAACACAATTTTAAATATTTTTCAAGTAAACATTCCTGTGATATTAGATGACAGAAAGGTGTGGCACTATTTCACAAAGTCATCCTGGGAAGCAGCCAGTGGGAGATCTGCCTTATTCAACAGCAGGCTTCTAAAACTGCCCAGGGAGAGAAACAGAGCTAAAAATAAATACAAACACAGATACAAAAACAACACAAATTTATAAAGAGACAAGAAAAGGGTAAGAAAATCTGGTGTAAGGAAACAGAGGGCCAAAACACAGCAGAGATACCCATTGGGACTGAAACATCTTAGCCCCTGGCTAAGGAGGGACAAAATACTGACCTAAAGTCACTGGAATACAAAAGGCAGATCAAGGAGCTCTGAGAGAGGAACATTCCTGCCCTGGGTTTTCAGAGCTTCCCAACTTTTCCCTCTGTGGGCTCCTTTTTTACACACTGAGACCCTCAAGGGACATTTGCTTTTCCTGCAGAGATAAGACATGAAGACTCTTCAGAGTCCACTTCAGACGAGGAGCCCTTCCCGGTCTTGAGCTTTGCACTGAGAAGTGGTCCTGATGTGAAGGGTAAGGACTCTGGGCTCCAGGACCTCAGGAGTCTGAGTTCAGAGCTCCTGTTTCTCTGAGCACACACCACAGCCCTGGAGCCCATCGCCAGCATTGATCCCAGGTGGCCATTTTGAAAACTGCAAAGAAAGAAATCTTCATGAATTCAGGCTTAACAAGATGGCTCTAGCTGAACAGAAGTGCTGTCTTACTATGTGTTCCTGGAAGTAGTGAATTATAGAATAATGTTCACCCCTACTCACCACCTATTTTGAAGAGCAGAGGCAGTAGGATAGTCTGCCTGCCATTGATTGATTTTGTCACAAACTTGTTCAAAATTCAAAAGATTGTGGTCATACTCTCTAAATATTAATAGGAGTAAAGCTTCTGGTAGTTACCACCAAATTCATTTATAGCTTTTGACAGATGATTTCCAACATGACATTGGTCTATATAGTGATATTTGGAAATATCTTCACAAAAAAGATATCCCTTTACATTTACAACAACCTAAAAGGTAGGCCAGATAACTGTTGTTCCCTCATTCCACAGATGGGAAAAGTTCCATGATAAACCAATAAGGATCTTTTACACATTGCACAAGGAAAGTTACCATAGAGGCAGACTTGACTCCTAGCAAACATCCATAATAGTTTATTTAAAACCTCTGAAGCCAGATGTAAAATAATAATGTTTTATTGTTTTAGAAAGACACTGTGGTTTATATCCTATATGTTGCAAAACTCCCACAGGGTCAGGGGAAGAATCCTGTTCTTAAATATACTGTATTAATGTTTCTATAGCAAATTGCGGGAATTCACAATGTGATAAAGATTTTACAGGGACACATGGCAGTTCAGTGCAGAGTCACTGCCAAATTAGTTAGCTGCAAACCTATTAAAAAAATGTTGGTTTTCAAAGCAGCGGTTCTCAACCTGTGGGTTGCAACCCCTTTGGGGGTCAAAGGACCCTTTCACAGGAGTTGCCGGGTACTCGTATGTGGGCGTATCTGCATGTGGGCCTGGAGATGGATAGAGGAGTGGTGTCTCGGTTCCTAAGACCATCGAAAATATGTGCTTTCCGATGGTCTTAGGTGACCCCTGTGAAAGGTTGAGAACCGCTGAAAAGGATTGTGGTTCTTTGCTCCATCTGGTAGTGATTTCTTTCCTTAAGATTGGAAGAGACAGAAAAGATCATCATCTTTTCTTTATGTTCCAAATCCTTCTACAATGTGAGGAAACATAAGATTTACAACTCTTTTCATTATAGATTAATTACTGGTTGTGTTTCCCTTTATTTCCTAGATCCTGTGAATATTGGAAACCAATCTACCAGGGGGATGAGCAACAAGAAAAGATGTAAGAGCAATAAACAACTCTTGATGTAACAAATGGCTTGCTTTGCTACAAAAGCTTCATTCAAATTTTTTGTTATATACTTTAAAATAAAAAAAGTAATTTGTTAGGATTTTAGATGATATACCTTATACACTTTGCATTAAGTGAGCTGGGCTAACTCATATAAAAGTTCAATGGTACAAGTGTCACACAAATTTATTGTTCACTCATATAAAAGATGAAGTAGTTCTTGGGGTGGAGGGGTGCTCTGCTGCACACAATCACTGAGGGTCCAGCTGATGGAGGCTCTGATAGCTTCAAAATGTTGTTGCCATGGTTCCCCAAATAAGAAGTGTGTGCAGACCAATGGAAAGGGTACGAAGTGTAAGAAATGGTGACAAAGGGGAGTGCTTTCCGTGGCAAAGTTATCCCTAGTCCTTGGGGATGATTCCTGTAGCAACTTTGACCAACAGGTCCGATGGAGCCACAGAGTAGCCTAGTGGTAGGAATATCTCTACTCCTTCCTACACGAGCTTCCCTTTTCCAATTTTCCTTTTAAAGAATTTCATGCTGCGGGCTGGTCCAGTGGCTCAGTTGGTTAAGAGCTCGCTCAAGAGTTTGAGCTCTGAGCAACAGCGATTCGATTGCCGGCCAGAGCTGAGCGGCTGCTGAGTTGCCAACAGGTGGCAGGATGGCTCAGCTTAAAAAAAAAAAAAAGAAAGAAAGAAAAAGAATTTCATGCTGGTTTGGTTCCTATAACGCAGACTGAGACTGTTATGGAATTTCATTTCTTTCTGCAGGGATCAGCAATGTTGACTGTTCAGAATTGAATAACGGAGAAGAACCTCAGGAAACTTCTAGCTCAGCCCTAAGAAATGGGTCAGGTAAAGAAGATTAGGATGCCAAGCGTTGGCCTGCACATGTCAGGAATTAAAAACTATTGTTTCCAGATGCATTTTATTCTGAGCACCTTGACTACCTTGTATCCAGTTAATCCCGGAAACTCCTTTCAACGTTTTATGAAATGGAAAGGGGCAGGAAATTATTATAAGCTTATGTTTAACAGGATAAATCCTATTGACTAAATGTATGTATTTGTATATCTCTGTTGTAGGGAAAATAATTACCAAAATGATGACATCCTTTTTAATACTTACCATCATGTCTGCTTACACTAAGATCTTAGATTTCTATGGTGATATACATATTGATTGGCTCTGATAATATTTGTAATTGTAAAAGCCTCAAAATATAACTGATCCTGCTATGTAATTATAGACAGAAATAAAAGCTTCAGATCAATCACTCTGAAACTTTAATATAGTTTTTGACACACATCCATCACATTGTAATTGGATTGTATCATGTTATTTTAAAGTACTTTGCCAAACAAGATCTTACTTTGTCATCACAAAATTTTTAAGACTTAGGTAGGCTAACTTGTGCTGTCCCCATTTTGGGATAAAGAAATAGATGTATGAATGGATAAGGGTCAAGAAAGGTGACTGTTGTATGTAACAGGCAGGGAGATAAGAGCTATGTCACACGATCAATTTTCAAAAAGGAGTTACAAGGGACCTGGCATATTCACAGGGGAATATATCAGTGCCTGATACAAGAAAACTTATTTAACAACAACAGTATATGCATATGTATATGTACATATATATATATATATATGTACATATATATATATATATACACACACACACATTTGTAGACATATAACCACCAATATTGGTGTGGATATTGAAGTATGTGTGTATATATAGATGGAGAGGGGAAAATGAGAACCATAAAGAAACAAAGAGGTAGGAATAGAGCCAGCTATATGGTATACAAGACACCTAGAATAATAATAACACCAAGGCTAAAAGGGATGAATAGAGAAATAAAAATAAATGGATAGTGACAATATCATTGATGAAAAATGAGAAAACAACACAGGAGAAAAGAGAAATCAGGGAGAGAAGCTCACAGAGTCAAAGCGATGGAGATAGAAATGTGTAAGGCAGAGCAGTGAGCAGAAAATTGAGAAATAGGGAGAATGAAGTAGAGAAAGAAGCATGGCTGGATAGAAAAAGAGAGAGCAAACACCTCTTGGACATGAGGTGTAGTCATTGGAGTAGGTGTATTTTTTCTCAGCTCACCTGAGCTGTGAACATAGTTCAACATGACCACATTGAAGTGTGTTCCCTGGTCACCATCTGTTGTCTGTCATTTCCTTATTTCCCTTCAATGTCTTATGGATGATTCAAAGCTCTTCAAACAAATAGAAGAAGAGAGTCAGAAGAGATGCCAGCCTGTTAGCATGTGGTGGAGGCGGCAGTTCTGAGACTATCAGTTGTCTTTGTTTTCCTGTATGCACAGAGGAGAAGCTCTGCCTTCTTCACCTTACCTCTCCCCAAAGCATTGCTGTACAGGCGGACACAAATGAATACACACTCGTGTAGAGGCAGACGTGTGCACAGATTAGGGCCACGTCATCAGGCTCAAGGAAGCCAGAGAGAAAGAAGAGCTGAGCTCCTGAATGGAGGGAGGTGACACTGAGTAGATAATGTAAGGAGAAAGAATGGAAACGTAGGCTGGAGTCTTAAATGAAAAGGTATCTGAGTAAGTTGCAAGTTTTTCTAAGTGGATATGGAATCCAAGTATCACCAGATGGGGGTTTGGTGAGTAGTGGGAGGTGGGGAGGGATCATTCCCAAGATACAGAGGGTGCCAAAAAATGGATATACATTTTAAGAAAGGAAAAAACTGTATTAATATATACCCATAACAAAAGATGAATACAAGTCAAGTTTGACTTCTGCAATTACAAGAGGTGCTCAAAGTGGTTACCATCAGCATCTAGACACTTCTGATTATGGCAAACTCTTGCTTGAGCAACATTAACCAAAGTACACTTCTGATTATGGCAAACTCTTGCTTGAGCAACGTTAACCAAAGTATTAACAGCTCTTAAAATGTGTATATATATTTTTTGGCACCCCCGTATGTCTAGAAGTTCACCAGAAATGCAGTCATAAAGTCAATGACTGACTGACAGGCCTGCAATGTAGAATGCTCACAAGCAAAAGTCAATAGTGTGATCAATGTCAAAAGAGCAGGCATCCAGGGCCGGCCGAGTGGCGCGATGGTTAAGAACTCGCTTGGGATGCCAGAGGGCCCCGGTTCGGATCCCACATATGAGGGCCAGTGACACTGCCCTCTACAAAAAAAAAAAAAGAGCAGGCATCCGGTGATGATGAAAGTAGTAATCTGGGAGAGGAAGCTGAACATAGATGAAGAAAATATAGATAAAGACAAAGATTGCAATCGTAAAAAAACAAAGATTGAGAGAAATAGACTAGAGGCAAAGAGAAAACAGGAAGTGAAGTGATGACAGAAAGAGGATTACTTCAATAATAAAACTGGATCCAGACATAGAAACACAGAAAACTAGGTGGCAATGAGATGCTTACAAAGGACAATAAAGGGAGAGGAATTAGAGGAGGCACAAAGAGAACTATGTAGAGAAAGGGTTAAAAGATGAGAAAAGAATAGTAGAGAAGAGGTAGCAGTGTAAAAGTCAAGGAGAAAATACAGAGAAATAGTGAGATCTGAGATGATCATGAGACAAAAGTGATGTTGGTCCAAGGGGTGGTCACACTAGCGCTGAGTTTTCAGGGTAAGGTGATCCCAGGTATCAAAGTGGCCCCTTAACTCACCAACTTACAAGACACCTCACCAGACGTTTCATCCACTCTTATGGCTTCAATCCCCACCCACCACATAATGGTTCCTAAACACACATCTCCAGCCCAGCCCTGTCTTCTAAGCTTCTAAACTCATTCATCCAGTTCTCAGAAAGACCTCTGACCAAGATCCTGAAGGCCTTAGCCTCCTCCACTTAGATATCTTTCAGTACTTTAAAACACAACTTTTCCAAACCTGAGCACATCATCTTTCCCCCCTAAAGCCATCATCTGCTCCTCCAATGTTCTCTATCTCTAAAACACACTATTGACATACCCATTCTTTCAAGTTCAAATTCTCAGAGTCATCAATGACTCCTCAATCAATACACCCCTGTGTAACCTAACTATCAATTCCTCCTTTGAAATGCTTCTAACCTGTCCATACAGCTCCATCCCCAACGCTGTCACTTAATCCATATCTGTGTCATTTCTCACTGGAACTACAGCTACAAGCTCCTGTTTGCCTTGTTTCTAATCCTGTTCCCATCAAATGTATTCTGTGATTTAGCTAAACTGATCTTTCAAATGCAAATATGTTCATGCTGCTATCCTACATAAAATCCGATGTCCTTTAATTTCCTTTAGGATTAAGTCAATACTCCCTCATGTGGCCTCCAAAACCACTTACCTCAAGGTCCCTGCCTCTTTCTCCATCTTCATCATTGCCACTCACTTTCCCACTCCATGCTCAGACATACTAAACCCCTTTTGGTTGCTTGCAGTTGCTGAATCTAGACCTCTGCACATGCTTCTCCATTCATTTGGGGCTATTATCTTGGCCCCCTTCTTCCCTAATCTGGCTAGCTCCTGCTACCATGATATATCCTCTGGAAGAGGTCTCTCATCTCAAACTCAGGGGAGTTCTTCCTGTCTTATGCTTCCTGTCTTATGTCGCCTCAGATATCCTGTACAGTGTGTGTTCTAACATTCTTCGTCTTTCAATATATTCACTCCTTTACGTGTCAGTTTCATGGTTCCTGTAAGACTGACGAGCACTGATGCTGCAGTGGGCTTGTGTTCTGCGCCATTATCAGTGTCCATCTCAGCAACTGGCACATGAGAGAAGCTTAGCAAACTTGTTGAGTCAATGGAAAGAATTGTTCACTTTCTGTTTTTCAGCATTTGGAAATTTGTCTGGCAAAATTTAGTTTATTAGAGTAATTAAATGGAATGTTTATAAAAATATTTTAATAATTGAATTATATATACATATGTGTAGACATAAAAATGTAGCAATAGTTCTGAAAACCATAACATCATATAAAGTAAATACAAATGTTTGTAAGAAATGTCATTAAGGAATAAATGGGGGAAGCATATAAAGAAAAAATTTTTGGAAATAAAGATACAGATTTGGGGCTGAGAAAAGATACGAGAAAAAAACAGATTGGAAGGAAGGGACCGTGACAATGAGGAGCAATAACAGATACAGAAAATCAGAGGTAGAACCATCCTTTGATGTAGGAGTGAGGGAAAGAGGGATGGTTGGAGGGCAGGGGGCAGAAATAAAATTTTTTTACAAATCATAACATAGGAGCAGATCTCCAAGGACCTGGAAATGAAAAGTGTTCCTGTGTCATGTGTTTTTCAAAAGGTGTGCTAAGAGGCAGAGAAGCAAGGACACAAAGTAGCCAAGCATCTGATATGATCGGTAAGGCCACCAGGGTTTCTGGGTGGAGGTGTTTCAGGGGCTACCAACGACCCCGGTCATGACAGTGATAGGTGATTGGGTTCTTGGAGAACATCAGACGGCTCAGCAGCAGGCAGTGGCTCACTTATGAAGGTGAGAGTCACAGGGCCCGGGCTGCAGGATGCCACGAGTCTGAAATCAGAGCCCCCGCTTCCTGCTGCACTTGACTCTGAGCACACGTTGACCAGGAAGGGTCTGGTCCATGGCAGAATCCCATTCTCTACATGTGTTTCACCTGAGTCTTTGGGAAACAGCAGGGAGGCAAGAGATTGTGGTTACATTTGTGTTTCACAGAATGGGCCCTGTTGCTGTACATGGAAGGTGTTATGGAAATACACTGGTTAAAAAACAAACAAAAAAGGCAGTATCTCATTTACTATTTAGCACATCAATACCGAAGTGTTGGATTTATGTAATGAATCCTACCCTTGTTTATGGAGCAAATAAATCCAAGTCTTCTTCTGTTGGTGGTAATAGTGTCACTTTGTCACAGCCTTGGAAAAGCTTCAAACGACAAATAAATGGTCCTGCTACTTATCAGGAAAAAGACCTCAAATAACTATTTTTAAACTCAATATATAATTTTGAAGTACAGCATGCTGTTGATTTAATAGTGATTTCTCATTAACTTTTTTGTGCTGTTTTTTTTTTTAAGATTTTTTATTGGGGATTTGGGGAAGGGGAACAGTGTTGGGGAATTGGGGAAGAGGAACAGCCAAGTTGTTGTCCTTCAATCTTAGTTGTGGAGGGCGCAGCTAGCTCAGCTCCAAGTCCAGTCACCATCTAGCAGCCCATCGGCAGCTCGCAGCCGCTCAGCTCAAGGTGCCATGTTCAATCTTAGTTGCGGGTGGGCGTAGCCCACCGTCCCATGCAGGAGTCAAACTAGCAACCTTGTTGTTAGGAGCACGTGATCTCACCAGCTGAGACATTTGGCCACCTGTTGGCAGCTCAATGGCAGCTCAGCTCAGGCGCAGCTCACTGGCCCATGTGGGAATTGAACTGGCAACCCTGTTGCTCAGAGCTTACACTCTTAACCAACTGAGCCACTCGGTCGGCCCCCTCATTAATTTTTGCAAATAAGATCTTATTGTATCTTCATTTTAAAAAATCCAAAGCCTGGCAGGATAACTTTTGCTATCACTGTCTCATACATGAGGAAACCGTTGCACATAAGTAATGAAGAGTTTTTTTCAAAGGCTCGGAGAAATAAAGGCCTTAGACATCAACTTGTACCTGTCCGATTCCTTTAAAAGGAAGACAGAGAAATATTTAACACAGAGAACATCCTTGTAAACTTAAGCCTTGTGAATTGTCATAAGATTTGTAACTTTTATTCATAGATTACAGTTCTCTGACTACCACCTGTTACTTTCTAGATACCATGGATACTGGATGCAAATCTACTTTGGAAAAACACAGTGAGAAAAGAAGTAAGAGTGAATAAGAATTTACTTGATTTTTATGTTACAAATTAACTATTTTTCAATGTTAATGTTTATTATCAGTATTTTTCTGTATCTTTCATAAGACAAAAATAGTGTCTTTTAAAATAACTATTTTTCTCAACATGCTCATCTCTTCATGTTGCTTTTTATCCTGGTTTTAAATTATATGTTGATTATAAACATGGGTGTATATCTTTCCAGAATTTTTCTATGCATGTATTAGTACTTTTTGGAATATAGTTTTATTTATATAAATTGGCTAATTCTATGCATACATTTCCTTTTCTTGCTTTTTAAAATTTATATATCATACCTAGGCAAGAAATACATTTAACAGTTTTAAGAGCTATTAAAAAGTCATATAAGGGTGCCTTAAAAAACACTATTTTATTTTTAGTGTGATTGAGTATTTTTCATTTGTTATTGGTTATTTGTTTGTCTTCTTCATAGAGCTCTTTGTCATAGAATGCTGTGTCGGTGTTTCCTATTGTGCTGCTTATGTTCGTCTTACCATGCTGAATGAATATAAAAATTCTTTTTTTAAAAAAACAGTTGCTGGGCCGGCCGAGTGGTTCAGTTGGTTAAGAGCTCGCTCAAGAGTGCGAGCTCTGAGCAACAGCATTTCGATTCCTGGCCTGAGCTGAGCTGCCGCTGAGCTGCCAACAGGTGGCAGGATGACTCAGCTAAAAAAAACCCAAAAAACAAAAAACAACAGTTACTATTTATGATTGTTCACTAGAAATTCTTATATGATATATACATATATATTAAATATGTTGCTAGTACGTTGTCCCATTTGTTATTTTTGTTTTGATTTTTTTTTTAAAGATTTTATTGGGGAATTGGGGGAGGGAAAACAGCGTTGGGGAATTGGGGAAGGGGAACAGACAAGTTGCTGTCCTTTTGTTCTTCAGTCTAGTTGTGGAGGGCTTTGCTTCACTGGCCCATGTTGGTATTATCATTACGCTCTTCCTGGGTGAGGCAGTTGCTCACCAGCCATTGGACGGATGCTCACAGCGGCTCATGGCAGCTCACACAGGCTGCCGGACACATACAGTAACTTATGGCAGCCCACTGCAGCAGGGGCTGCAGCCTACACCGATGCCGGAGACTCACTGCAGACCAGCTCCAGGTCAAGCTGTTGTTCACCATCTTAGCTGTAGAGGGTACAGCGTCACTGGCCCTCTTGTGGGATCTGAACCAGGGCCTTGCTTCTCAGATCTGATATCCCAAGCCAACTCCTAACCAACGTGCCACTCAACCAGCCCTTGTTTTGATTTCTTAATGGGACCTTTAGTCCTAGAGAAGTTATTAATTTGTAGGTAGTCAAATTGGTCAGCTTTTTCTCTCTAATTCTTGGATTTCCTATCATATTTACAGCAGCCATTTCTAGCTGAAGGTTTTGAAAATATTATTTTATATTTGATTTTAGGTTGTTTCAAGTATCTGATCATTTTTAATGTTTACAACTTATAATCCCCAGGTGTTGCCTCTTCGTGTATATGTGAGGTGGGAATTACTACAATATTCCTTCCACAATTACATTTTGATCTGAATTGCCAGTTTGATCACACAGTGACTTTACCTGTTTATATACTAGTTTTTGGTTTGCAATCAAAGGGGCTACAGAAAACAAAGTAGAGCTCAGAGGTACCACCATACTAATGACTCACTGGGGTGAATTCTAGATCAACTCAAGATTTCCCCCACCTTCTTTCCAAGTTCATTGGGACCTCTGCTCAGAAATCCATTGAATTTGTAGATTAATTTGGGGAAAACACAGATTTATACCCACTTAGTCATGTGTTATTTAGAACACATGAGTCTTCCACTAAGAGTTTTCTTATACTTTTTTCAAAAAAATTTTTTATATGTTGTACAGATTTGTTTGTTACTATGAATATCTTTTTCTCCCATTACAGAATAGCTGAAGTGAATTGAAGATGTGCTTGATTCTTCCCTTTTCCTAACCCCCCACATTCACTCATCATCAAGTTTTAAATCTATATATCAAATGTGTCCATTCCTTATCTCCCCTGGCACTATCCCAGTTCAAGTCCCATTATCTTGCACATGGAATACTGCAGAGTCCTCTTAACTGGTCACTCTGTTTCTGTTTTTACCCACCGATAATTCATTCTCCACTCAACACTCTATGTCACCCAACTACACAACCCTTCAATGGTTTCCAGTTTAATTTAGAAAAAAGTCTAAACTCCTTACCATGCCTGCAAAGCATTACATAAACTGCTTCTGATTACTTCTTCAGCATCATCTCTTACCATTCTTTCCCTCATACACTGACCTCTATGAACAAACTCAGTTTGTGCCTCAGGACCTTTGCACTTCCTGTTGACAGTACATAAAATGCTTTCCCCCTCAGTTCAAGTGTCTCCTCCTCAGAGAAATCTGCCATGGTCTCTGCTTCTTAAATATTCCCTTTAGCCTCTTTTACATCACACTTTGACCTGTCTTTTCACCTGATTTATCATTTTTATTGTACAAGAAATCTTATCTCTGTATAATCTAATTTGTCTGTATTATCCTTTATGATTATGCTTTTCCTTTTTTCAAAAAAAATTGCGGAATTGGGGGAGGTGAACAGTGTTGGGGAATTGGAGAAACGGACCAGCCGAGTTGTTCTTCAATCTTAGTTGTGGAGGGTGCAAATCACCATCTGGCTGCCTGTCGGCAGCTTGTGTTCAGGGTGTTGTGTTCAATGAGGTAGGGATCTAATTTTTTTCCGTGATAGATAACCAATTGTTACAGCTTCCCCAATGGTGTGTGATGTCACATACAGCATGCATCAAAGCAATATACATGAGTATATATATTTGTTTCTGCGTTTTTTGTCTGATCCATTGTTCTAGCTATTCTGCATTAATACATAATGTACTCTATTAAGAACTGTAACTTTATAATATCTTGATATATGAAAGAGCAAGTTTCTGTCATTTTTTTTCCTTTTCAAAATTGTATGATCATTTGCTCTTTCACATAAATTTCAGTATCATTTTACCAAGTTCCCTTGAAAACCCTGTTGAATATTTGTTGAAATTATAGAAAATGATTTTGGAAAAAATTAACATCTCTAAAATATTGAGTTTTTCAATTTATGAAGATGATATATCTCACTACTTATTTATTCTAGTTTTTTTTAGATTCTTCATTCATTTATTCAACAGATATTTATTGCCAAAGCTGATCAATAAGGATAAAGAAGTGAACAAAATCTTATTGAGCTTATATTCTAGTGGGGGGATATAGACAAGACACAAATATATAACATTTTCAATGGTGACAATACTGTAAAACAAAATAAAGAGTAATGAAGGTACGGGGTAACAGAAACATGCCATCTAATATAGGGTGTCCTGAGAGAGGCTCATTGACAAACCAACACATAAGTGGATATTTGAATGAGGTGAGGGACGAAGCCACAAAGCTGAGTCTGAGAAGACCTTAGTGGAAAGACAGGCAGGATGTGCACGGTCTTTTGAAGAATAACAAGGAGGTCACTGGCTGGGGAAGTAATCAGGACGGAGCAGGAAGTGGTTTGTCAAGGTCATGTAGAAGTCATAAGTCATGGTAAAGCCTTTGGATTCTTGTCTTAGTAAGAGGAGAATGCATTCGAGAGTTTCGAGCTAGGGAATGATATGATATGAATTATATTTTTTAAGGATTGCTGTGGGATCCACATGGGAAATAGACTTTAGGAGGATAGGATGAGAAGTCCATAAGGAGGTTATTGCAATGGTCTTGGCAAGGGTGATGTTGGATTGGACTAAGCTAGTGGCAGTGAAGGTGTTCAAAAATGGGTGAGTTTTGAAAACACACATATCTCACAAACGCACACACACACACACACACACACAAACACTCCAACATATATATAAATAGGTTTTATAGAATATATTTATATATTGTATAATTTTACCTATTTATAGAATATAATTATATATTGTATAAATTTTATATATAATATAGAAATACATTTATTAGATGAATATGGATAAACTATATACAAATAAATATATTAAAACTATAAATAAAATATAAATTACATGTACATATAGTGTGTGAAATGTTTATATAACATGTAAATATATTTATGTACATAAATAAATATATAAATACAAATATATATTATATAAACAAAACTATATATTATACTTATAAATATACATTACACTACATATATGAATATATATATATATATATATATATATATATGTATAAACCTCCAAAATATTTCTGACCATCTAGAAAGCCACACACATGTCTAGGAAAGTACTGTGGGTACACTCCTAGGGCTGTATGTGCACTCAGGAAAGACCTAAGAAAGCCCTGAGCTCACCTCTGGCTAGCCTTGAGACTGTGCAAGCAGGAAGTGAGAGCTAAGGAGGAGTTGTAAACTGCCTAGTTGTGTGTTGAAGGCATGTGTCAACATACGCTTACATCCCCTTGGCAAAAACTAGGAGACTTATTCGTTCTAGGTATTTAAGGAAATCTCTTTCCAATCATTAGTTGACTAACTGAGCAGAGACTTCAGTGGCCACATGGCAAAAAATACAGACTTTGCAAAATTAGTTCAGAAAAAAAGTACTACAGCATACTTTGGTGATATTGTGGGTTTGGTTCCAGACCACCACAATAAATCAAATAGCACAATAAAGTGAGTCACACAAATGTTTTGGTTTCCCAGTGCATACAAAGTTGTGTTTAGGCTATATTGTAGTCTATTAAATGTACAATATCATTGTCTAAAAAATGTACATATCCTAATTAAAGAATATTTTATTGATAAAAAATGCTAACCATTACCTGAGCCTTCAGCAAGTCATAATCTTTTTGCTGGTGGAGGGTCTTGCTTCAGTGTTGGTGGCTGCTGACTGATTAGGGTTGTGGTTGCTAAAGGTTGGGGTGACTGTGGAAATATTTTTTTTTAAGATTTTTGTTGTTGGGAATTGGGGGATGGGAACAGCAGTGGGAAATTGGGGGAAGGGGAACAGACAAGTTGCTGTCCTTTTGTTCTTCAGTCTAGTTGTGGAGGACGTTGCTTCACTGGCCCAAGTTGGCACCATCATTACGCTCTTCCCGGGCGAGGCAGATCAGTCGCTGGCTTCTGGACGGCCGCTCACAGCGGCTGCTGGCCGCTCACACTGGCTGCTGGCTACACATGGTAGCCCATGGCAACCCACTGCCACAGGGGCTGCAGCCTACCTGTCCTCAGGGACTCATGGCAGCCCAGCTCCATGTTGAGCTGTTGTTCAGCATCTCAGCTGTAGAGGGCAGTGTCACTGGCCCTCATATGTGGGATCCAAACTGGGGCCCTCTGGCGTCCCAAGCCAGCTCTTAACCAACACGCCACTTGGCTGGCACTGGAAATTTTTTTAAAATGAGTCAACAATGAGGCTTACCACATTGATTGATCTCTTCCTTTCATAAATGATATTACTGTAGCATGTGATGCCATTTGATAGCATTTTAGCCACAGTAGAACTTCTTTAAAAATTGGAATCAATTTTCTCAAACCTACCATTGCTTTATCAATTAAGTTTATGTAATATAATAAATCTTTTGTTGTCCTTTTAACAAACTTCACAGCATCGTCAGAAGGAATAGATTCCATCTCAAGAAATCACTTGATTTGCTCATCCATCAGAAGCAAACCCTCATCCATTAAATTTTTATCATGAGACTGCAGCAATTCAGTCATATCTTCAGGCTCTACTTCTAAGTCCAGTCTCTCACTATTTCCACCACATCTGCATTTACTTCCTCAACTGAAGTCTTGAACCCCACAAAGTCATCCGTGACAGCTAGAACAAACTTCTTCCGAACTCCTATTAATGTTGATATTTTGACCTTTTCCCATGAATCAAGAATGTTGGGGAATTGGGGAGGGGACCAGCCAAGTTGTTGTTCTTCAGTCTTAGTTGTGGAGGGCGTCAGTTGCCATCTGGCTGCCCATCTGCAGCTCATGGCCTCTAAGCTCAAGGTGCTGTGTTACAATCTTAGTAGTGGGTGGGTGTTGCCACCATCCCATGCAGGAGTCGAACCAGCAGCCTTGTTGTTAAGAGCACATGCTCTATCCACTGAGCCATCCAGGCAGCAGCTCAGCTCAAGGTGCCAAGTTCAGTCTTAGTTGCAGCCGGGCATAGCCCACCATCAAACAGACAGTCTTGTTGTTAGGAGCACGTGCTCTCACCAGCTGAGCCATCCTGCCACCTGTTGGCAGCTCAGCAGCAGTTCAGCTCAGGTGCAGCATCACTGGCCCATGTGGGAATCAAACTGGTGGCCCTATTGCTCAGAGCTTGCACTCTTAAGCTAATTCTTGACCAACTGAGCCACTTGGCCAGCCAGAACCAAGAATGTTCTTAACAGCATCTAGAGAGTGAATCCTTTCCAGCGGTTTTCAATTGACTTCACCCAGATCCACCAGAGGAATCACTATCTGTGACAGCTATAGCCTTGCAAAATGTATTTCTTAAATAATAAGATTTGAAAGTTAAAATTACTTCTTGAGCTATGGGTTACAGGGTGGATGTTGTGTTAGCAGGCACGAAAACAACATTAATCCCATCTCCATCAGCAGTCTTGGGTGACGAGGTGCATTGTTAATGAACAGTAATATTTTGAAAGGAGTCTTTTCTCCTTAGCAGTAAGTCTGAACAGTGGGCTTAAAATATTCAGTAAACCATGTTATAAACAGATGAGATGACATCAGGCTGTGTTGGTCCATTTATAGAGCACAGGCAGAGTACATTTAGCATAAGTCTTAAGGGCCTTGGAATTTTCAGAATGGTAGGTGAGCATTGGCTTCAACTTAAAGATACCAGCTGCGTTAGGCCCTAACAAGAGAGTCAGCCTGTCCTTTGAAGCTTTGAAGCCAGGCATTGACTTCTGTCCAGCTGTGAAAGTCCTAGATGGCATCTTCTTCCAATACAAGGCTGTTTTGTCTACATTAATAATCTATTGTTTACTTTTGTCATCATCATTATCTTAGCTAGATCTTCTGGATAACTTGCTGCAACCTCTCCATCAGTAGTTGCTGCTGCACCTTGCACTTTCATGTTATGCAGATGGCTTCTTTCCTTAAACTTCACAAACCAACATTTGCTAGCTTCACACTTTTCTTCTGCAGCTCCCTCACATCTCTCAGCCTTCAGAGAACTGAAGGGAGTTAGGGCCTTGTTCTGAATTAGGCTTTGGCTGAAGGCAGTGTTGTGGTTGGTTTGATATTCTATCCAGACCACTAAAACTTTCTCCATATCAGCAATAAGGTTGTTTTGCTTTCTTACCATTTGTGTGTTCAGTGAAGTAGGAGTAGCACTTTCATTTTCTTCAAGAACATTCCCTTTGCGTTAACAACTTGGCTAACTGTGTCGCACAATAGGCCTAATTTTTGGCCTATCTCAGCTTTTTTTTTTTTTAAGTTTTTTTTTTTTTAATTGGGGATTTGGGGGATGGGAACAGACAAGTTGCTGTCGTTTTGTTCTTCAGTCTAGTTGTGGAGGACGTTGCTTCACTGACCCAAGCTGACACCATCATTGCGCTCTCTTCCCGGGAGAGGCAGATCAGTCGCTGGCTTCTGGACGGCCGCTCACGCTGGCTGCTGGCTACACACGGTAGCCCATGGCAACCCACTGCAGCAGGGGCTGTAGCCTACACCGTCGCCGGCGACTCACGGCAGCCCAGCTCCAGGTTGAGCTGTTGTTCAGCATCTTAGCTGTAGAGGGCAGTGTCACTGGCCCTCATATGTGGGATCCGAACCGGGGCCCTCTGGTGTCCCAAGCCAGCTCTTAACCAACGTGCCACTCGGCTGGCCCCTATCTCAGCTTTTGACATGCTTTCCTCACTAAGCTTAATCATTTCTAGTTTTTGACTTAAAGTGAGAAATGTGAGGCTCTTCCTTTCACTTGATCACTTAAAGGCCACTGCAGGGTTGTTAATTGGCCTAATTTCAATATTGTTGTGTCTCCGAGAATAGGGAGGCCTGAGGAAAAGGAGAGAGATGGGGGAATGTCTTGTAGGGGACACAGTCAGAAAGTATACACATTTATCAATTAAGTTCACAGTCTTATCTGAGCATGGTTTGTGGCACCCGAAAACAATTACTATAGAAACATCAAAGGTCACTGATTGCATATCACCATAACAAATATAATAATAATTTAAAAGTTTGAAATATTGCAAGCATCACCAAAATGTGACACAGAGACATAAAGTGAGCAAATGCTCTTGGGAAAATGGTGCCGATAGATTTGTTGCTTGACACAGGGTTGCCACAAACCTTCAATTTGTAAAAAACGCAGTATCTGCAAAGCGCAATAAAACAAAGTGCAATAAAGCCAGGTATGCTTAGGCTCCTTGATTTGTCCAAATATCACCCCGTGACTCCTAGCTATAAAACAGAAAATGATGTTCCCCTACCTCCCATATCTCTTTCCACTTTGTTTTGTCGTTGTTATTAACTATTTTTATATTGTCAGGCATGCATAACATTCTACTTTGTTGCTTCATGCCCCACTTTCATTTTAATCCTTTTGCCAACATTTTTCCAGTTCTGTCTTGGTTTGCTGAAGTGGATCCTCTAGTCGGTGTCTCAATAAGGACTCACAGGAACAATATTTCCAGTATTTTTCTATTCAAAAGTATTTGTTTTTGTTATTTATACCTGAGAAATAATTTGCTCACTCATTATTTCTAGAAGTGTCTTGTAGGTGTTTTTCCACTTTCCTGTGGCATTAAATGTTGCTGTGAAAATTTCTACAGCCAATAAGAGCCTATTCCTTGGAAATATGAGTAGATCTGTTTGCCGAGGCTTCCCATTCAATTATTTCTTTATCTTTAAAGTGTAGTGAATTTGCTGGAATATATCTCAGGGCTGACTGTTTGGAGTCCATTTTTTCTGCTACAGGGTAAAAATATACATACCTATGGCATGTATATTCAGTTTTTTTATTATAATGTCAAGAACTTTTCCCTTAAATTTATCTCCGAGTATTTCTTCAATTATTTTTATTTTCTCCTTTGAAAACCCTAATGATTTGTCCACTGTCTCGCATTGATTATTTTCTCTCTAATCTTTCTTAGTTATTCTTAAATTTCCTTATTTCCCTTTCTACTTTCTATAGTCTATATCCTTCACTTTAATGTCTGAAACATCTAATCTCTTTGGTTCTCCTTCTACATTTCTCTTCATTTCTCTGATGGGTTTCTTTTTCTTCCACATGTTTCTCAAGTTCTCGTCATTATAAACATGGATTATAGCTTTAGTTTTCCAAGGCAAGCCTCTGAATTCAGGATGTATACTTTTCTGGTGATGTCTGAGATCTGCTGTTCCTTCATCTCCTTGACACTCCCCCTCTTTTGCTTCCAGTTTCTGTCTGATTTCAGCTGCTTTTTATATTTTCCTTACTTATTGTGAATGAGAAAACCTCATGTGAATATGTAAAAGCATTCTGTAAACGATTGGTACTGTGTAAATGTAGGCTGTTTTGTTGCTCCAGTTTGATGACAAAACCAAGATGGTGTATTGGTGGCTGGGAATTTAGCCCCACAAAAGTTGAAGGAAGACTTAAAAATAAAATAACCAAGGGTTGCTGACACATAAAACTTGTAAATCTGTTTATAATTCTAAATCTCTATGTACTATGTATAAATGATTATCATCTTTTCTGTTTGAAGGAGAAAATAGAAGATACATACATAAAAGAAACAGTCTCCAAAAAGGTAAGAATAAATGTGAGCTTCTGTGAGCCTACTGCAGACCTGACCTTCCTGTAAGACTCTATCTTTGCTGCAGCCCAAAAATCTCTTTCATCAAACAGTCCAGAAGTGGTAGGGAAAACCTGCCTTTCTCAACATATGGTTTCCCTCTGGGGCCAAGAAAGTTGATCTAGTTGCCACACTGGGAACGGGATAAATGGAGAGGGAAATCACCTATGCGTTTCCTTTCATGGAAAGACCCAGAGTCTGCTGCTCATATCCCATTGGCCAAAATGTAGTCATGTGGCCAGAGCTAGCTGCAAGTGAGGCTGAAAAATATAACCTCTAGTTAGGCATCCATTGGTCCAGCTGCAACTCTCTTCCTATGGAAGAGACAATGATTATGGGTAACAAACAGCAATCTGCCTACTTGCCCTCCATGTGTTCACTCAAAGTCACTGATCTCCTCAAATAAGGAGGAAAATTCAGACTCGCCATTGGTCTTCTTGTCAACCTGAGGCGATTTGGCAAGAAAAGGAGCTGGAATCTGGATGCAGCACAGAGGTATGTGGCCAGAGACAAGCCAGCCCTAAGCGGTAAATGAGAGGCCTAAAGAAAGTGTTAGATAGGTTTGTTGTAACTAACGAACATATCCCTTGACAGAAGAAAGAGAAACAGACAGAGGGAACTTGAATCAATTAAGCAGAAGACAGAGTCCTAGTATCAGATCAGATCAAGGCCTGAGAAACACAGTTATTTAAACCAAATTCAGTCAGAGCGCACAACACACTGAGTTTGCACAGTAAAGGGTGGAAATGATGAGTGACTCACCGTTTTCTACATGGGGTTCTGCAACTTTTCATTCCTGTTGCATTCCTCCTTTACTTCCTCCTCTTTGCTTCTCATCTCTTTCCCTTTCCTCTCCAATTCTATTTATGTTTCTTTCTTATGTTTTACTTCTTCTGTTCATTCTTCAACATCATGTCATGTAAAATACTGCTACTAAGTTTACATGGCATTGTAGAGGTGACAGGGTTTTTTTCTCTGGAGTTAAGATGTATTTGGATATATTTTGTTTCCTTTCCACCATTTCTTCTAAGTATTCCTGTTTATATATTTAAATATAGTATAAATAAATATATACAAGTATTTCTAGCATATCTATCATTTTATCTCCATGCTTATCTTTATCATCTTGGTTATTTCCCAGGCTATACTTACCCAGGTCTATCTAAGATGTTTTTTCTCTAAAACCTCTTTATCCTACCTGCTTTATTAAAACAGTTGGAATTGGTAGTCTATGCCTAAATCACATTTGCTTTTTCTCCTACATCCATTTCCAACCTATTCTCTCAAATAGTTCTTCCCCAGGGTTAAGTCTTAGGATAAGCCCCAGAGCTATGCTAGTCCCTTTCAGCAGCAGTGATATATTCTCATTCAATATTTAAAAGCCTGAGCCTATATATTAAAACTAGAAAATATATAGTGAAGAGGTTGGGTGAGGCCAACCTCTTCTCTCATCCACACTTCTTCTCTAATTCCAATCAGTATATATTGCTTTTAACTAATTCAAGTTTAGGGTGGAAGGAGAGAAGGGGGTAAGGAGCAGAAATGGGCCTCTTATGATAGATCCTTTGTGTCTCCCAGATATGGTGGTTGCATGAGTCACATTTGAGAGAGAGAGAGAGAGAGAGAGAGAGAGAGACAGAGAGAGAGAGAGAGAGAGGGAGAGGGAGAGGGAAGAATGAAAGGGTGAGCATTTCATGGCCCTGTCTTGGTGAGCAACATGTATGAACGAGGCACTCAGGAGATAACTCCATCTGCATATGCCTCACCATCTTTCCACCTACACCTCATCACCTGCTGAATCTGAGAGCATATTTACCTGAGGGTTTCAATCAACTCTTCTTTAATATCTCTAATCCTGAGGCTTTCTAAGACTTGAAAAAAATATATTTTTTAACCCTTTGAACATTTATTCCTACAAATTCCCCTTGGGTAATATTCTCTTGGTTAGTTTCTTAGATCCTGTTTTTTTGTCCAAACCCATGTAGTCACTTTCACTGTATTTTCAGCCCAAAAACCGCCATTCAGGGCTAAGATAATGGTGAGTGTTTCATCTGTGTGGCTCACCGTCACGCCTCTCTAGACAATCCGAATTCTTGCATTGCTGCCATTGATTTCTGCCTCTCAACCAAAAGAAATCTGCATTGCTACACTTAATTTTTTTAATTTATGGATATTTAGTTTCTTCATTGGTAATGAGGATAATAAAAGTCTCTATTGCATAAATAGATTAGTAGATATAAGAGTTTTGTATTTTTGCCTAGCATATAAGTGTTTAACAACTATTAGCTCTCGTTATTATTATTCTCACAGTGTTCCTTGAGATACAAATGAATCTCTTTCTTAAATTCTTTTTTTTTTTATTAGTGGGTATAAATGAGTTAGGATTCATGTGAGGGTAAAGAAAATGAAAACTAGGGTGAACCCAGATTAAACATCTAAGGCTTGGTAAGTACAAAGCTATGGGTTATATATTTTTCTTTATGCATTAGGCTTTTGGAAAGTTACAGTAAAATGGAATTTTTAAAAAGAGCTATGTTTTCAATGCAACTTTTCACAGCATTTGTTTTTATGTTTTTCTATTTTCTCAGCGAGAAAGAGAATCCAAACTCTGAAAAATAGAGTCCCAAGGAAAAGAGTCAAACCAAATGGTAAAATTTTAAAAGATGGATACATTTTTAATAACTAAACAGCTAAATTCCAATGCTTCATTCTTTTCTTTAGTAACAAACCTATTTCCCTAATTGCTTTATGTAAAACTATACTAACAATTGAGAAATATATCAGACTTAGTAAATTTCCAAAACACATCAGGGATTGAAAGATGTAAAACCATAAACAACTAACTTGGTGATGTATCTGCAACCAAAACCCAGGGCCCAGGGGACACTGCAGTGCTGCCTCTGCTGAACTGGTAACTTTCAAGACTGCAAATACAGTTGTCCTTTGAACAAAAAAGGTTTGAATTGCATGTGTGCACTTATAAGCAGACTTTTTCAAATAAATATAGTCAGCCCTTCTTATCCAACCAACCGCGGATTGAAAATATTGTTTTCTATTTGTGGTTAGTTGAATCTGTGTGTGTGAAGGGCCAACCGTAGAGTCAAAAGTTATATCCGGATTTTCGATTAGGGGGGTAGATTCCCCTAATCCCCCTCCCTTTGTTCAAGGGTCAACTGTAGAAGCCATTAAACACTGTGTAACTCCCAAGTAACGTAGCTATCCTTTCTCTTGTCCTACCACCTTGAGGCTACCGTGTGGACTTGGGTCTATTGCTTCACCTCTTCTGTCTCAGTTTACTCATCTGTAAAGTGAAATAAAATGAGATAAATAATAATAAGTAGTCATAATAATAAATAGACTGACCACCCTCCAAGGCTCATCCAAGGTTCACACACAGCTTCATATCCTGTGGATCTCACGCTGAACCTTGGACAGCTTCCTCTTCTGCATGCTGGAGCCCAAGGAGTGTCTCTAATGGACTCCCCACAGCTTTAAGGGATTCCCAATATCTTTGGCTGGAACAGCAGGGACAGCAGCTCATCATCCTGAAGTTAATTTTAAGACATTTCTATCAATTTCTATGATGTCAGACTCTCAGTTCCTCAACCTACCCACTACCACACAGAGGTTGTAAGATGCAAAGCCTCCTCCCTGTGCAATTTGCAGATGACTCTAGAACTCCACTGAGCTTCCCCTTCAGCCAGGAGAAAGCTGCTGTGAAGTGAAGGAAGCTGATAAGATAGATGCTGTCTCCTGTTAGGCTGCCCCATGGTCAACTTGCTTCCCACTCAACCAGTCTCTGGCTCAACTTAAGACAAATGTGTCAAATTATAGAAAATTACAGTCCAAAACTCTTTCTCTGGCCACAAAACTGGGGAGAGGGGAAGATTTGGCTAGAAATTTCCTACTAGTTTAGCAGAAGCCATGTATTTCACCATCTCTTAGTAGTTGAATGGTGGCCAACTTGCTTGGGAATTAAGACATTGGATGGTCCTTCTGGAAGGTCTGCACCCTTGCTGCAGTTATCTCATCACTCCAGTTGCTTCTCTTGGGCAGAGTGTCTCTCAAGAACATTCAGTTCAGGTCCCATTCACAGGGTCTCCACCAGGCCATGGAAATCTTGCTGCTTTATTGATTCCCTTGCTGGCTCCCAGCTCAGTCTTTCTCCCAATAAAGAATGCTCTAGCCATGATCTTTACCTTTACGTTTCCTAGGGATGAGTCTAATAGTCTCCCCTTCTTTGACATCCTCAAGGGCAAAGGTCCATCTCTTGTGTGGATCTTTTAACACCTTCTCTTTTGGCTTTAGGGGAGGTGTTTGACAATTCTCGGCAAGGAAATGTAGCCTCTCTCTGGAGGTAGGGCAAGTCTATGCTGGAGAACCAGCCACACCATCTCCTATCACATCCTGTGCAGCCGGGCTAGACTAGTATCTTGCTCTAAGACGGGTCGGCAAACTTTTGAGATGGAAGAGCCAATCCTGTCCCTCACAACAATTTAAAAATTATTCGAGACCTATAACACAAATGAAATCACCATTATGTGAATAATATCCTTTAAAAATTTTATAAATGAAACTATGATAGTTTTATTTTCAGTTTCAGTTTTACTTCAGAGCCACATGTACGTATCCGAAGAGCGGCATGTGGCTCGTGAGCCGCAGTTTGCCGACCCCTCCTCTAAGATATAGGCATATGGGGCTCCCGTTGCATTGTTCTTGGATACTGAGGCCTCTGCTGATGCTCTGAGGCAACCTAATACCCTGATATACTTTTTTGCCCATAATACCATAATGATTAGTCCCAACTATTTAAAAATTACTTTTAAACTGTTTCTGACCACACTATTATGTATAAGAACTAATGTGGGGTTTTAGTGTTATTAGGTAATTATTAAGATAGAAGACCCAAGAAGAGTTCAATCTTACTTTGTCCAGGCATTTACTTCCTGTTTGTAAGGTAACAAGATACTGGACCATGCTGGCACACACGGAGCCATTGTCAAGCAAAGCTCATCAGCACTTTGACATATGTGATCTGCTCTTCTGCCCAAATTTCTTCATGCTGAGATCTGGGCTGAAGGACACTGAACTTCTGTTTGTTTGCCCTGAAGCTGTTTGTCTGAAAACCTCAGGGTTTTGATGAAAGGGGAGCCTAGCTCACTCACTAGACCCAAAAGGATTTAAATAGAGAAAAACGTAGAGCAAGAGAATGTATGTTTGCCAATAATGGCTACTGATGAATTGACTCGTTCTAGCCAGGGGTATGCTGCAATCTTCTGACACGTCTTTTTGTCAATGCTTTACATTATCTTTAATCCTAAAACTTGTAGAACTTGGGCATCATTTTCTATAAGTTCTTCTTCATTGGGTTAGTTGTAAAGTCCTTGCATGATTTTGCCACTATTTTCAGTACAAAAATCTTTCCAATTTTGTTTTGTGGCAACTATCTGATCAGCAGAGCCCACCATTTGGTCTCCCTTAAGGCCGTATGTATATTGCTGCCTTTTATCTCTGTTGCTTTATCCAAGGAAATCTTCAATATTTTACTTATTTTGTGTTCTCATCTATGCACATTTATTTCCTCATCTACTAAAATGAGGGTGGAATTAGTCCCTGTCTGATAAATTTGTCCTAAGGATGAAGTAAGTTAATAGAGGTAAGGGCTAAGAAGACTTCCTGGCACACCATAAGCACTCAACCCATGTCCAAGTTCATTGTTATCCTCACCCTGTTGCTTGGGAAATACAAAAAACAAAAAACAAAAAAAAACACTGTTTCAATTTATTTGGAATGATTTGGAGATATTAGTAAAGGAAATGTAGACTCAACCTTAGTTAAGTATCATTGTTATAACTGTGTCTAAGCCAGGGTTCAGCAAACTATGGCCCAGGGCAAATCCAGCCCACTGACTGTTTTGTAAATAAAGATTTATTGGAACACAGCCACAGCCACCGCTTTCATTTAAGTATGACCTATGGATGCTTTTGCAACACAACAGCAGAGTTGAGTAATCACAGCAGAGGTCATAGACCTTAAATGTTTACTATCGGGCCCTTTACAGAAAAAATTGTTTCTAACTCCTGACTTAGGCATTTGATGTTTTTAGTGAAGCACTAAACAGGTTCCTGAAAAGTCGCCATTTGAACAGTGTTTTTGTAAAACACTACTATTTGCAATATAATGTTATAAACAAGACATTTATGTTATTGTTTTTTACCCTCAGAGAGAAAAACATTCAACATCGGACTTTTGAAAAGAGGCAGAAAAAGAGGTACAAAAAAAAAAAAGAAAGAAATTATTAATACACTTTAAATAATTTTTATTTTGTACTCTGTGTTTTGAATGATCAATTTTCTCAATTGGCTTATACAGCCAGTAACAAACGTTAGGATATTCAGCAGCCTTGGTCAGTTTCAACAGCATGACAGGATGATGGTAATACCCACTTTATTGATTTGAGCCAGTTGATCTGTGAGAGCACAGGTTCCCCTGGGCCTGCGCAGGTCTCCCTTCACTGCACTGATGACTTTTGAGGAAGTGGTGTGTGACTCACATGCTGTTATTAAGCTGACCCCTCTTGCCCACACAGAGAGCCACAGGTGGCCCCACCAAGAGAAATCCTGGGTGGTACTGCAGGGCTTGTGTCCTAATTCCTAAACTTCCTTTGATTGTGTGATTTTGGCTTGTCATTTATTATTTTTTGCCTCAATTTCCTCCTCTGAAAATGATTGAGTGGCAGGCAAACTAAATGGAGTGGCCTTCTAGACCCAGCCTAGCTCTAATAGAACTGACTCTAAAAAAACCATGGACAGCACACCCACCCCACCCCAGAGAGAAGCCCTAGTGTGTGTCTTTAATGCATCCCCCTCAGTGTTGGCCAGGAGGCCAGGGGCAGGTGCTCCTGCTACTGAAGTTCATTCATTTTAAGACTTTCAACACCTGCTTCAGTGGAATCACAGCCCAGTGCCCCGGCCCAGAGGACGTGCAGAGCCCTCTTTCCGAGCAATCGATGTGCAGTTCCTTCTAGAGCAGCCCACCCTGAGCTTCACAGAGTGAAAGCCACAGAGAAAACTCGCCTGAAAGAGAAGTGAATCCAAGCAGAGAGCAAGGAGGGAAGACAGACGCTGTCTCCGTTAGGACCCCATTGCCACCCTGCTCTCTGTTCCCCCAGGGGGTGCCTCAAGTGGGGAAACAAAGCTAAAAGGTGAGGGTTTTCCCTCCACCTGCATTACTTCAAAACAATGATACGACTAAAAGCCTTCCTCAAAAACGGCAGGAGGAAGTCACTGCGCAATAGGAAGTGAGTGGCCAACAAGCTTGGGAGTTCAGATCCTTCCACATGAGGGTTTTATGGAGGATTTCAGAGGATGGGAGTGGAGATAACATTATCTTTATGTACCTAATCTGCCATAAAAAGAAAGGCCTAGAAATGTAACTAATTCATGGCAAACTCCCTCCAATACATTTTAAGTTATAAAAGAAGAATCTCAAGATGAGTAAGGAGAAAAAGGGCACCACTGAAAAGGAAGATAATGAAAAAAATAATAATAGAGACAGCCAAGTGGCTCAGTTGGTTAATAGTACGAGCGCTGAGCATCAGGGTCACCGGTTTGATTCCCACATGGGCCAGTGAGCTGCACCTGAGCTGAACTGCTGCTGAGCTGCCAACAGGTGGCAAGATGGCTCAGCTGGTGAGAGCACGGGCTCCTAACAACAAGGTTGCCGGTTGCATGGGACGGTGGGCTATGCCCCCCCCGCCCCGCAACTAAGATTGAACACGGCACCTTGAGCTGAGCAGCCACAAGCTGCTGAAGGGTGGCCGGATGGTGACTAGACTTGGAGCAACTAAGATTGAAGGACAACAACTTGGCTGTTCTCCTTCCCCAATTCCCTATCTTAATAACAACAACAACAACAACAACAACAATAATAATAATGCTTCCTTGCAGGTCCAAGAATTCCCAGAGATAAAAATATGGATTTTCGACCTCCTATACTTCCTGTGACCTGTGGTCAGGCGAAGGGGGTTTTACATAAGGAGAAAATGAAAAAAGGTGGGTTTCTTGATCTTCTACACTTTCAACTGGAAACTACCCATGTGGATAATATATTGTTCAAGGGGTAGACGCCTGTATCAGGGGTCTCCAAGATCATCCCCAGGTTTGGTGATTCACTAGGAGGACTCACAGGACTCAGATATAGTTGAACTCATGTCTATGATTTATTAAATTGATACAAAGCAAAATCAGCAAAGGAAAAAGGCCTATGAGACAAAGTTCAAAGGAAACCAGGTGCCAGTTTCCAAGAGTCCCCTCCCAGTGGAGTCACACAGAACACACTTAGTTCTCCAGAAACGAGTTATAACAGCATGTGTGAAATGCCATCCATCAAGGAAGTTGCCCTGAGCCTCATAGTCCAGGGTTCTTATCAGGAGTTAGTTACATAGGTCCCCTCTACCTAGCACATGCTACTATTCCAGATGTGCAGAAGGAAAGCAGGTATTCAGCATAAACCATATTAGAATGGAGGGACACCTCTCAAAATCCAGGCTCTCGAATGCCAGCCTTGGAAGCAGACATTTCTAAAGATAGCAGTCTCAGGCCTGCTCTATTTGCTCTTTCCTGCACAGCACCCCAGACCGGCTGGAGTGAAGATGGCATCCCCACACTTTTAAAATTCATAAACATTAGCCTACCAGGTTACCTCCTCTTTCCCCCGTGGAAAAGGTCCAGACGACACCCATCCAGCTCCTAAAACAAGAGCAAGTGCTGCAATATAAGAGTGGGAAATGTACACATTTGAGAAATCCAGCAGCAACTTCACAGCCCTGCTCCCTGTAACAACTGGACAGTCTGTGCTAACCCGAGGAGCACACGAGTTCGAATCAGATTTTTTTTTTCCAAATTTCAAATTTTAACTATACCAAGAGTGTCTGTTTCGCCTGGGCCAAGCTACACAGTCTCTCTCATGCTAAACTTCCTCCTCCACAAAATGGAAGTAATAATAAAACTGGCCTTGCCATATCACTATGAGAAAAAAATGGAATAACAGATATAAAATAATTTGCAAATTATAATTGTTCAAGTACAGTGCAAATGTTCATCTGACATGCTTGATTGCCCCCGCCCAGAATATAGTTCTTTAGGCACCAAGTGTAAATGTTTGCCCTGTGACTATATTGTATATGAGTAATTTAACTTTTCCCACTACATAACATTCCCATAATTACTTTCAACATAAAATAGCCATGAGTCCAAAATATGAGAAATAATTTATTGCCATTAACTGAATGATCAACATTGTACAAGAAGAGGCAGATGTGGCTGTGCTGACAGCTGCCACACGGCTACCTGTGTGCCCTCATCTGTCCCCTCTGGAATTCAGCCTCTCTAGACTGGGTCTCAGAGAAGGGAAGAGAAAGAACCCTACTCATTCTTCTTAAGAGCCATTCATTCTTTTTTCTCCTATGAATATGGGGAAATGCTTTTTTTTTTTAATTGAAGAATTGGGGGCGGGGAACAGTGTTGAGGAATTGGGGCGGGGGACCAGCCAAGTTGTTGTTCTTCAGTCTTAGTTGTGGAGGACACCAGTTGCCATTAGGCTGCCTGTCGGCAGCTTGTGGCCTCTAAGCTCAAGGTGCTGTGTTCAATCTTAGTTGCGCGTGGGCGTAGCCACCATCCCATGCGGGAGTCAAACCAGCAGACTTGTTAGTAAGAGCGCATGCTCTATCCACTGAGCCATCCGGGCAGCAGCTCAGCTGAAGGTGCAGAGTTCAGTCTTAGTTGCAGACAGACATAGCCCACCATCGCACAGGCAGTCTTGTTGATAGGAGCATGCGCTCTCACCAGCTGAGCCATCCTGTCACCTGTTGGCAGCTCAGCATCACTGGCCCATTTGGGAATTGAACTGGCGGCCCTGTTGCTCAGAGTTTGCGCTCTTAAGCTAACTCTTAACCAACTGAACCACTTGGCCGGCCTGGGGAAATGCTTTTTTTAAAGTAAATGTTGGTAATAATTACTGTCTTTCTCAAAAGTCAAGGAAGTGTGTACAGATGGCAGGAGATACCCTTCCACCCTCGCCTGTCAGGTTGCTGTGGGGTCCCTGAGAGGGAACCCAGCTCTCTGGTGTTGCTGATTCTGAGCCCGAAATAAGTGGCCCAGAACCACGTGGTGGGAGGGCCCGTTCTGCGATTTTCATAGTCAGGAGCACTCCCTGGCAACAAAGGGAGCTCATCGTGTCTTGGTCTTGCAGGAGTGTCGGAAAAGTGTATACAGACAAAGGATGGAAAATTGTTCACCCTCAAGGAATTTGAAATTAAAGGAAACCATGAAAAATCCAAGAACTGGAGGCTGAGCGTGCGCTGCGGTGGCTGGCCCCTGAAACACCTGATTCAGGTATTACAATGACAAAGGGCTTAAATTAAGGATGCGGTGTCACAGCTCACCAACTCCAAGCTGTAGCAGAATTCCCAGTTCCAGATTATCATCATCATGACCTCCCTTGCCCTGGTCACAATACATATAACTAATATCCCACTCAGGTGATATCTCAGCTGAGTTTTATTACAGCTTAACCCTACCTTTTGAAGGTAGGAGAGTTAATTGTGGCCTTGACTATGCTACTATTAGTTGCCACTGTGTAATTTGGCCACAGGAAAATAATTTAAATTGGGAAGAGGGTCTTAGGCTTTGGGGGCCAATGTTTAAAGTTGAACTATGTATCTGAAAATAATGCACCAGTATGGATGTTTCCTGGATTACACAATATTTCAACACAATTTCTTTTGATAGCCATCTGAAATTCATCCTTGAAAGAGAATATAAATAAATTGCATTTTTAAATATCTCTCCTTTGGTCCTCATATCAGCCCCCTGATGAGGACAAAACAGTCCAGGCTTCTAACTACAGATAAACACGTGCCTTCTGACTATCACATGCCACAGACAGCCCCTTCCTTGCACCATTCTAATAATACAGACAAGCTCTTCACTCAGAAAATATCGATTGAGATATGTCTAAAGCCACGGGACTGTAAGGTTAGTCCCCAACCAGGAGGAAGCCTGCACAGTCATAACTACAGGACTGCATGGAGAGGCACCGGCAGGCAGAGATGCAAGGTCTCAGGGGAGGGGAGGTCATTTCTGACTTTGAGGTTGAGGACAGTTTCATGGAAAAGTTTCCACTGAACTGGGTGGGTGTTAAAACAAGAATAGTTTTTTGTTGTTTTTTTTTTTTAGCTGAGCCATCCTGCCACCTGTTGGCAGTTCAGTGGCAGGTCAGCTCGGGCCGGGACTCGAACCGCTGTTGCTCAGATCTCACACTCTTGAGCGAGCTCTTAGCCAACTGAGCCACTCAGCTGGCCCTAAAATGAGAATAGTTTTGACGAGTAAAAATGTAGGAACAATGTATTCTACATAAAAAGGATGGCTTGAAAATCCTCCCCACGATGTATCAAGAAGTTGTGGGTTTGACACATGGGCTGGGTTGATTATAGAGGTTTTGAGGCCAGAGGAAGGAGAATGAACCCTTCCTTTAATACTGGGGACATCAAGTTAGGGACTGACATAAGTTGATATAGTGCTTTAGAAGTATTAATCAGATCAGAGAGTGCATTATGGATTGGAGGGCGAAAAGCTTGAAGCCATGGGAACATCAAATGACCGTCACCACCTTTCTGACTGATACTCCCCCACACTTAACCTGCAAGGCCAAACTCAAACAGCACATTCTCTGAAGTCCTTTAAACTCACTGCATTTGTTTCTTATTGCTGCTGTAACAACTTTCCACCAACTTAGGGCTTAAAACAATGCAAAGCTATGACCTCACACTTCCGGAGGCCAGAAGTCTGATATCAGTTTTGCGGCTCTCCAGTCCGGGAGTCAGCAGGGAGCATCCCAGGGCCAATTCATACCTTGCCTTTTCCAGTTTCTAGAAGCTTGCCTGCCCTCCTTGGCTCATGGCCCTGTCTGCATCACTGCAACCTCTTGTTCTGTCACCACATCTTCTATTCACTCCTCCCTTATAAGACCCTTATGATTACACTGGCCCCACCCAGATAGTCAGAATAATCTTCCCATGTCAAGATCTTTAGTTTAATTACATCTGTAAAGTCCCTTTTGCCATGTAAATTACCATATTCACAGGTCTGCAGATTAGGACAGAAACATCTTTGGGGGCCATTATTCAGCCTGCCATACTCACCCACCTCTGGAATCCAAAATACACTGACAGCACTGTTTATACCTGACTGTCCTTACCCATTACGTGCCAGCTTTTCCCACTTGTCTTCCCACTGACCTGGACACCTTTGTGTACCCAGTGCCACCGGTGGGGTCTCGCACCTTTCAGTCACTCACCCAGTGTGTGCCCCTGGAGCAGCTATAGTACGTGAGGTATAAAGACACAAGCTAGAGGGGTACTGGGGGGGAGAGCGGGGGCTGGAAGGGAAGCGGTGGGTGAAGAAGAGATTGTAGAGGAAAACTTGGCAAGACTTTATAAGGAGAGCTAGAGAGAGGGTGCAGTTTTTTTGTTGGGTTTGGTTTCATTTGGTTACATAAAATTTATATGTTTGAGAGGGTGCAGTTTTTAAGGCTGACTTTAAAGCTGAGTCTGGATAATGGAGAGCAGCATGTGACAGGTTTGGAAAGGGCAGTTATTGTCCATGAAGACACCTTGCATGTGTGTTGTTGACAATGGGACATATCTTGAAGGCAGTTGGAAATACCAAGTTCAAAAAAGTAGAATAAGAAGTGCAAAAGTACAGAGTAGAAACAAAGACTCATCATAGTGTTCATCTCACTTCTCTTTCAGAAAGGATTTCTACCAGACCCACCGAGAACAAGAAAAAAGGTAGTTATCCCATGACTGCTACCAATGTCTCATCTCTCATATTGTTGGTTTTCATCTCTCTGGCCTCATTTGATCATTTCTAACTTAACAAAGTCTAATAAAACTTGATTTTAAAATACGGTGCTTTCACACTTGCTGCTTTCAGACATCATGGTATAGGAAGCCAGACTTCTTTGAGCATGAAAACATTTGAGATAGAGGTGAAAATAATCCTTTCAATAGATAATGAGACAGAACCGACACTGTATGTTTGTTTTAGAAAAAGATAAGAATGCCATACTGTCTTAAAATTAAACATAAAAGCCCCAACTCCCATGGGGCTGGAGTTGGCAAAACATGATTCTGAAAGGCACAGAACAATGCACTTAATGACTATTGTCTTTGCAACACTATTTTTTTCATTATTTTTTCTGGTTTTGAGCTTTAATGAAATAAGAATAAAGCAAAACTTTCCCCAGAAATGTCCCATGGTCACTCTAGCTGACCTAATGTAGAAGAGAACTCCCCCTTGGAATGGACATATAGCCATATGTCACCTGGTGCAACAAACAACCAAAATCACATTCTCTCCCCTGCTTTTATGTCTTTCCTCTCCCTCACGTGCACACATTCCCACGAAGTCCTTCTCCAAGGGGTCCTTCTTCAAGGAGCATTTTATTACCTTTGTGAAGAGTGATTGGGAGGCAGGTGTGCCCTGAGAGCGAGGCTGCTGACCTGGAAACCTTCTCCTTCATGGAGAGGCCCTTTGGCCCCACCCGAGGGGCTTTGCAGTCTTTAGTTCCATCTATGAAGGTGAATTCTCTTTCCTTTGAAGTAGTACATGGAGTTCATTGACCACTGGTTTCCATGCTGTGTGAATTCCAGGGAAAGCAGTGAGATAGTTAATGCCTTCCATAGTTTCTCCAAGACTGTGTGTGAGAGAGAACCTGTGAGTTGAAGAAAGGAGATGGAAGAACTGCCATTTTCCTAATGTTTGACAGAGATGACCTTGACTATCTCTGCCACACCAGAAAGCTGCAGTCTTCACAAAGTTGGTTTCTGGGGCTACCTGCTCCACTGAATTTATGCTAGCAATTCAGTCTAGGTTATGTATCCACTGGGTTTTCTGGAGAAAGAGACATTATTTGGTCTGTTTTAAGACCAAACATCTACCCAGTCCTGGGAAATCAAGAGTAACTCAATCTGGGTAATCAACTGAGTTGGCCTCCTCCCATCCCTTCATCACAAGCATCCCCTCTTGGTTCCTTCTGGGCTTACAGCTCTTACGGTATGACCACCTCACTTCTCAGAGGGTTTTTCCAGAGGGTCTCTTCCTTCTCCAACCCCTTGGGTTCTGTCACTTTTGTCACTTTCAGCACCAACTGGCAGGTGGTGCTGTTGGCAGCTTCCTTGCTCATTAGTTTCCTACTAAACCCACTAGTGATGACTGAGGTGATCCAAGATACTAAGACATAAAACCCAAGCTGATCATTTACTGGCTGATAAGAAACCTCTTATCAAGTGACAACAATATTCCTTTATTTGTGCACTTATGTGTCCATTAAGCAAACAACCGAAGCACCTACTCAGAGCCAGGTGATATGGTTAGCCAATGACAGTACAAGGAGGCCAAAACAAACCTAAAGCATTGTTTCAGCTTCATTGTGTAACATGGGACAGTAATGAATGGATGGGGTGGGGGTCCGAGGCCCCTCGGGAAGGCAGGCAGTGACATGGCCAGCTCTCAGGTCACTATGTCTTGAATCACATTGGGTGGTTTGTCTATGGTGTCTCTGCTTGGGCTACAGGTAAAAGCTGAGGCATTGTTTCAGACTGTAAGAAGGGCAGATCATTTCATAGATACCCAAGGTCAGTCAAGCACTTGGGATTCAGGAGAAAGTGGAGAGGCACTTACCTTCTGGAAGAAGAGATGCAGCACTGGAACCTTTTACCCATTTTATCTTTAGGGCTGTGTCCCAGGAGAGCTGCAGAAAGCAGTGGAGTTCACAAGGACACTTGCATGACATCCAGAAATCTGGGCCCTGTGGTCAGTGGGGACTCTGGGTGATGAGTCCTCAGCCTGATTCTCTCACCGAAACTCCAACTCCATCTGTAGAAACTAAGGCCATACTTCCTCCCTACATGGCTTCAAAAAGGCCTGCCCTGGTCTGAGAGCCAGAGAACAGACCTTGCTTTGGGCCAAACTATCACTGACACATAATTTAATGGTTTTTAAAATTCTCTAGTTAGATATATAGAGCCATAAAAGCAGATATGAAACACAGGGAGGACTGTGGCATGAATTCTTTACATAAAGAATTCTGCTCAAGGGCCGGCTGAGTGGCTCAGTTGGTTAAGAGTTAGCTTAAGAGCGCATGCTCTGAGCAACAGGGCCGCCGGTTCGATTCCCACATGGGCTAGTAAAGCTGTGCCCGAGCTGAGCTGCTGCTGAGCTGTCAACAGGTGGCAGGATGGCTCAGCTGGTGAGAACACGTGCTCCTAACAATAAGATTGCCTGTTCGATGGTGGGCTATGCCCGCCCACAACTAAGACTGAACTTCGCACCTTGAGCTGAGCTGCTGCCTGGATGGCTCAGTGGATAGAGCATGCGCTCTTAACGATAAGGCTGCTGGTTCGACTCTCTAATGGAATGGTGGCTACGCCCACCTGCAACTAAGATTGTAACACAGCACCTTGAGTTTAGAGGCCATGAGCTGCCGACGGGCAGCCAGATGGTGACTGGCGCCCTCCACACTAAGATTGAAGAACAACAACTTGGCTGGTGTCCCTCCTCAATTCCCCAACACTGTTCCCCTCCCCCGTTCCCCAATTTAAAAAAAAAAAAAAAGAATTCTGCTCAAATGCCTGGTTAATGAAAACGCATATTAATGTTGTCACTGGATCTTTCTTTTCTATAGACAATACCAGAGTTTCACAGTGATGACTTTATTGACCCTTATGTAAGTATTAACTCCCACCTGTAACCCCAGAACAATCCAGGCCTTTTCTCTGGGTACATTTTCTGTGTCATTGTCGCACTTCCCTGAGTCAGAGCATGTGTCTGTGTGTGATGAGCAGGAAACAGCAGACACAACGCCCATGTCAGTTAGATGGTTCTGGGGTTGGGTGTCTCAGCATGAAAGCATCCTTTCCATTGGTTCAGAGGAACCCTTCCTGTTTCCTCATTTGTGTGGGAAGCAGAACTCTGGACCACTGAGGTCTCTAGAGCTGGGACTTTAGGTGGTAATGGGTGGGGCTGGCCTGCAGATTAGGAGGAAGGCGCAAGCCTGAGAGGATAGCAGCATATTAAAGAAGGCAGTAGGGAAGGACACAAAAACCCCAAACATCCACTCCAAGGTGCAGGCAGAGCTAAGATGGTTTTGGTCATCAGCTGGAAGGAACAGGCCCAGCTAAGCTGGAGAGTTCAAAATGTAGACTGCCATGACTCCTGCAGAGAATGTACTCAGGGCAAGTGGGTCCTTTACGGAGCCCGTGTAGCCCCTTCCGACTTCATTGTCTAAGATAAGAGCATCACTAATGGGGTGGGTGGGGCCTAGGCTACTCAGAGAGTCAGGCAGTGACATGGTCACCCCTCAGGTCATCATGCCTTGGATCACACTGAGTGATCTGCCTATGGCTTCTCTGCCCTGGGATGGAGGTAAAAGCTGAGACAGTCATTGTTCTTACTGGAAGGAGGCCAAGTCATTCCACAGGTACCCAAGGTTCAGAAACCTTGACCTAGCAGCCTGAAAAGAGTGGTCAGCATCCATGCGTCTCAGCTTTTAAGACAAAAAGGAAAAACAGTTACACGGCCCCAAACCAGGGCAACCCAGCCCCACATGGGGATGTGCCCAAGGAGGTCCCAAACAGGCCATTCCACAAGTTTTCCTACTGAAAGGGAGCACATGGGCAATAGACATCTTGCAGCTTAGAATTTCCTCATATATGTGACTTCTGGGTCTCTTCTTTTTTTTTTTATTTATAAATGAAGAAAATTTACAAATTAAATATATCCCAATTCACCTCAGTTTATTGGGCCCAGGGATGATATTCTGACTCTTATGATTTATAACCCAAATAGCAAGCCATTTTTCTTTGGCTAACAAGATAGCATTATGATTAGGGCCTCAATATCCTTGTAGTAGCGGACCTCACAGAAGCACTGAGAATGAAATGAGATATTTAAAAAATGAGATCAGCAAGCCTGGTGATGGATTTGGATATTGGGGGTGCGGAAATGGCAGAACCCATGTTCACCTCTAGGCTCCTGGGTGAATGATGGCGTGCTTGGTGAGATGGGGAGCAGATTTGAGACAGGAAATAAGGAACGGGGTTGGGACAGGATGGGTTTTAGATTCAATGAAAGACATTTACGTGGAGATGATGGAAAGTAAGTTGTGGATGTTTGGGGGCTCAAAAGGAGACCAGAGACACAGGTCTTAAAGTCTGGGGATAAATGTGATAGGTGTGGTCATGGGAGCAGTTGTGGTCAACCAGGAGAGTGAAAGGAGCAGGGGACATAGGACACAGACCCAAGGAATTCCAACATTCTAAGTGAGGAACCTGAAAAGAAAGAAGCACAACTCCATAAAAGTAGAGTGTCACAAAACAAAGCATAATATTTCTAGAAGGAAGAGGGGAAAATGGTGCTCCCCGTCACCTCCCTACTTCCTCGCCATCCACCAGCATCCCAACTACCCATCACTGGGTGGGCCAGTCTCCAATTCTGTGCATTATTTTGTACCTAGATTGTCACATGAGGATGTGAATTCCTCCTTCTAACCCATGGTGTGAACAGGATATTTTCATCTGGGTGTAGAGCTGTCACCCATTGGATGACCACATAGTTCTCCTCAAATTGTTCTTTCAGATGTTCCCAGAAGAGGAGCCAAATCTTTCTGGGCATTTCTCCATCATAGACACACAACTCTCATACATAGAAATGTTAGTAAGTAGGGATTCACATGTTACTGCCATATAGATTGTCACAAAAAGAAAAAATGTTATTTCCCTTGCCACCAATGGGTTCATTCCTTGACCAATTCTTATTCTGGTTTATAAATTCTATCATTTTGAACATGTGTTTTTTGATTCCACAATACTCAGATGCAAACACTGTCAAATTTTTAACTTCACTAAATGAAATTAAATCTGGCTAAAAGTCCCACATATTAAGATGGGTGGAAAATCCAGCCTCAATCAATTTTGTGGGTTCCTCCATCGTCCTCATATAGAACAAAGCACCAAGTCATCCATGGGCACAGTGGTTGCCATTACCTCACTCCCTGGCCATTCAGAGATGGCACCTCCACACTTACATACCAAGCTGAGTCACGGGCCACCTTCCCCAGGTGCCCAGAGCCAAAGAGCTCCATCCTCCCTGGCACCCACCTGTTCATCTGTGCCTGTGATCTTTCCAACCCAAAAGCACTGTCACAGGCTCAGGGCCCTCCAGGCACAGAATCCATGGCGCAGGGATTCCTTCCACAGCCCTTCAACTCATGGGGAACTTATGGTCAAGAAAATGGGGTACACTGACATCTCAGAAGTTTATTCCATCATATTAAATTCTCAATGAATCACTCTGATGAGTTCATTTTGATGATGCAATGTAGACAACCAGATAAGACATTGTATTCCTGAGCCAGATTTTGCCAGCAGAATAATAAATTGCTCAGATTATCTTTAATTCACCCTCCTTTTGTTGTGGTTGCTAGCCTTTCTATGTCAGAATCCCTGTCTTCACAAGGAAATCTTTCCTGACCTAACACAGCCACTTCCTCCTGAACTTCACTGCAGACCCAATGCCTTCTGAAATCTCTGCTCAGTGTTGTTCTTTAATATTTTGAGGACAGCAATTTTCAAGTGTCACCTTGGTACAAGCAAAGGCTGTGTGTTCTCGAGTCCCTTCCGGGGTCTCACTAATCCCCATGATGTCTACCTTATCGCCTCTTCTAGCCAGAAAACTCCAATGAATGTGAGGTGTGCCGCAGACGAGGAAAGCTGTTCTGCTGTGACACTTGCTCAAGGTCCTTTCATGTGAAATGCCACATCCAGTGTATTGATGCTGACAGGTTAGTGAGACTCAGCCCCCTCTTGCTCTTTTTGTTGTGGTACAGCTCCTCCTACCGTACACCCTTAGTCCACAAAGTCTGTCCCTGGTTGTATGCATCTTGATGAAGAGGGAGCAGGGTCCTTAAGTATCAGGATCCAGAAATATGACCCAGAACTACTTAACGGTGCCGGCAGCAGTAGATTAATGGGAAACAAAGCTCTTCATGTGGTTATTATGTATAATAGGAAGTGATGTCACCACCACCTCCCCAGTTTGGTTCCCAGACTCATGCACTTTGATGGGGTGATGACATCATACATTAGCTGCCGGTTTCAAGCATAGACCGCCTGCCATGGGAACATCACAAAGTTGGCAAATCTGGGATGAGCCTTCAGAAAGCCTTCCCAGCAGTCTTTCAAGTCAGCTGGCCCTGGCTCACAGGGTACATGATAAGACCCATAAATTCTGAGGGTATGAGCCCACTGCTGCGTTTCCTTTGCTGTATAATGTATACTTGGTCAGAGGTGATGGTATGCAGGCTAACATGGAGATTGATAAGGCAATTCTGTTAGTGGCGGGTGCTGTAGGCAGAGGATAATGTCTACCAGGAATGTGTGTGTCGCTAGGAGGACACAGCATTGCCCTCCATAATGGCAGGAATCTAATGCAACCCACCTGCTCTCAGATACCTGTCAGGGAGTGGTGCCACCTCAGGAATTCAGCGTAAACCTCTGTAGTGGGCAGTCTAAAAGGCAGAAGATGGATCTGCTTTTTTGTTGAGCCCACATACATATAGTCCCCGACCCTGCACCACGGGTGCTTTGTTATGGGCCTCTTTTTTCCAATTATAATTGACATACAATATTATATTAGTTTCAGGTGTACAACACAGTGATTAGACATTAATATAACTTACCAAGCAAACACCGCTTAAGTCTAATACCCATCTGATACCATACATAGTTATCACAATATTATTGACTATATTCCCTATGCTGTACTTCACATTCCCATAACTGTTTTTATAATTGGCAACCTATACATCTTATTCTGAGACGGGCCTCTTGAGCAAGCACAGGGGTGGCCCAGGAGAGAGGCTAAATGGCATCGCTAAGATGAACCCTTTTATCAACCTGATTAACGAGAGCCTCCCAGCTCAGAGAGCCTGGTAGACAGGAGTGAAGAATGACCCTAGGGACAGATGGAAGATATCTGACACTCTGTTGGTAGATTTCTTTCCATGAAGTCTCAGCAGCAGAGATTCTGGGTATAGATGTGGCAATGCCAGAGGAGAGGATGCCTATGGCTTGTGCTGTGTGCTTTACTCAACAAAGTTGAGAGTCAAGAGCTGGTTTCCTGACTTTTCCTGTGGCCTGATGGCTCGACACTCGACTCTGGCAGACAGGTCTCATTACCACACTCACAGTGGCTCAGATGAGAAACCTAAGTTTTGTTTGTTTGTTTATTTAATTTTTTTTTAATATTTTATTGGGGAATTGGGAAAGGGGAACAACGTTGGGGAATTGGGAAGGGGAACAGACAAGTTACTGAACTTTGGTTCTTCAGTCTCGTTGTGGAGGACGTCGCTTCACTGGCCCATGTTGGTGTTATTATTGCACTCTTCCTGGGTGAGGCAGTCGCTCACTGGCCACTGGACAGCCGCTCATGGTGGCTCTTGGCAGCTCACGCCACCTGCCAGCCACTCACGGTAGCTTACAGCAGCCCACTGCAGCTCCACTGCAGCCTATGCTGTCGCCGACGACTCACGGCATCCCAGCTCCAAGTCGAGCTGTTGTTCACCATCTTAGCTGTAGAAGGTGCAGCGTCACTGGCCCTCATGTGGGATCCGAACCGGGGCCCTGCTGCTCAGAGCCGGGGTTCCAAGCCAACTCCTAATCAACATGCCACTCGGCCGGCCCTGGGAACCCTAAGTTTTAAGGTGACTGAAAGTCCATCACCCACCATGGCACCTCACTCAACAGACTGTCAGCCCTGAAACCACTATAGACGGGGAGGGTGTCTTTGTTAATTGAGTCCAACTGGGGCTCTAGTGCAGAGGGGCCCCCAAGAGAGAAGGTGGATACAAGGTGGAAATCATTAGTCATTCTTGAACAGAGGACTTCAGCAGCTGTAACAACGGCGGCGGCTGCTTCACAGAGAACCTGTGCTTGCTCACTGTATGTCTTTCCTCTTAGGAACCCATGGAGTTGCATCTTCTGCTCGATAAAGGACATTCAGGAAAAATCCCCAGAAAGTCAGCCATGTCGCCAGGAATCTGAGGTGCTGGAGAGGCCAATGATGTCTGAGGAGCAGCTGGTGAGTTGAAATGTGAACCTGAAGCCTCCTCCTTTCTATTTAGTTGAGAGAAGCAGCACAGTCTTTCTGGGGATTGGAGGGATGGTGCCCAAAGGCAAGCTGCGGTTGCTTGCTAGCCTTGACCTAACACAAAAAATTTGCATTCCAAAGGAAACTCCCCACTCTTTGTTTGTTTCAGAGTCCACAGGTTTGGGAGTTGTGTGTTTTGTCTGAGCATGCTTAAGAGCTCGCTCTCTCCAAGCTGCTTTTCATTTAAGATCTCCTCTATCTTTTACAGAAATGTGAGTTCCTCCTCTTGAAGGTCTACTGCTGTTCACAAAGCCCCTTTTTTGCTTCAGAACCATATTATGTAAGTAATAGCAGCAAAGCCCAAAATTGGCATTTATCAAATTTGTGATGTGAATCCAGTGGGTACAAGTGGCTACTACCTTTGCCTTGATGAAGAATGTCTTTGTCAGCTTAGCCAGACCTTAGCAGCTTAAGCTGCTAAGACAAAGTACCACAGACTGCGTGGCTTCAACAACAGAAATTTCTGTCTCACAGTTCTGGGGGCTGGAAGTCTGAGATCTGGGTGCCAGGATGGTTAGATTCTGGTGAGAGCCCTCTGCCGGGTTGCAGACTGCCAACTTCGCATTGTGTCCTCACAGGGTGGAACAGAGGGAGAGAACTCTCTGGGGTCCCCTTAAGAAGGGCACTAACCCCATCATGAGGGCTCCACCCTCAGGACCTAATCACTTCCCGAAGGCCACACCTCCTAACATCGTCACATTGGAGGTTAGGGTTTGAACACATGAGTTGGGGGTTGGGGGTAGATACAAACATTCAGCCCACAGCAGGGAGAGTCTACAGATGGTAGACTCGGAACCATGTTAACAGCCTGCCCTTTGGTACTTTTGCCAACAGAGCAGAGAGCCATCTGGGCGCCTGAAGAAGTCCATGTGGTTGAACAAGATCAGGAAAAAGCTGATTAGGAAGTTGTACCCACAAGTGAAGGGGTTCATAAGGGACATGCGCCTCATCTTTCAGAACCACAGGGTATTTTACCGGGTAAGTGGCTCTCCCCGCTCCCCTTTTTCTTTCAATTAAGTCACTTTACCTTTCATTTTCCTGTATCAGGAAAATGTAACAACTTCGCCTCATCACACAAGTAAAAATTCTGGAAGGATTCTAAAAGCCCTGTGGTCTCCAAAGAGGAAAACAACAGCACATCAGCGGTGTCACTGCAAACAGTACCCTAGGACCTCAGAGTCAGCTCACCTCTAGAGAGCCAATTTTCTCCCTCAGAGAACGGTGGACTGCAGACCTAGTCCCTTCCATAGGAAACAGAAGTGCATTTTAAAGGCAACCAACTCTTCTCTAAAGGAGAATGCCAAATCAAATTTCTCAAAGTTTAAATTTTTGGATTTCTTTACATCGGCCTTCCCTGGTGCTGTATCAGAAAATTAACAAGGATTGCCTCAAGGGGTAGGAATGAAGGGGAAAAGAAGGCACTGGGAATTTGCCGTAGACATTTCCATACTATCCTGTTGTTACGAATAATACGTACTGTGTTCAAAACTCAAATATCTAGAATTTTTTCAAACTAAATCAATCAGTTTCTGATGAAGAATTAGACTGCCATATAGTACTCTTTTTTGCTTCTCTGTCTTCCAGATAAAGAGAAATGATCAAGCTCTCAGGGAACATGAGCTATTCTTAACTGGATCAGTTCTCGCTTGACATTCAGGGAGCCTCAAAAGCAGATCCAGATTATCTGAAATTTGGGGAGTCTAAGCTCAAAAGAGCACTATTACTCTTTTTGTCTTTACTTTTTCAGGACAAGAAATTCATCAGTCTGGGACTTCAACTGGAGGCCAAATTTGAGAAAAATTTCCAAGACATTTTTGCAATTTGTGCAACCAGCAAGGGCAGCTCTCAGTCTGCGCCCAGTGTTATGTAATATTGCCCGTTTCCTTTTCACCCTTCATGTGTCCAAGAACACATGAGAGCGTGCCCGGTCCTCCTGACTAGTCTGTCTGTGCCAACATCATCGTATCTCACTTCTTTTTCAAAATATTTTTTTGTTGCCATTTTTGCTCATTTATTTTTCTAAATAAAATTTCAAATTGCCATGTCGAGTTCCCCTATTGAATAATTTGGAGTGAAATTTACAATAGAAAATATTAAGTCTTTCTATAAAGGATCACAGTATATGCTTCCATTTATTTGAATCATTTATTAGGTTCTAAAGTAAAGGTTTCTTTTCTCCTCCCCACATAAAACTAATTTATTTATTTATCTATTTATTTATTTATTTATTTATGTATTTATTTTTTACTCTCAGTATTGTATACTTTTCCTTGTCGTTGTGAAAATGACCTTTTTCCCATTATATCTTATTACTGAGTGTTGCTTGTTCTAGGAAGCTACTATTGTCTCCATATTTGGGTAAAGCTACTGTTGTTTATATATTTTGGTCACTGATTACCGTACCGAATACTGGATAGCATCTTTTTTGCCTTTCCCCCCATGGCATCAGGAAGTATACCATTTCTAATTTTCAATTCATAAAATTACGATTGATACAGCTGATGGAAGCATTTCTCATTTAGGCACTAAAACCTCTGATAATCCTTGATTCTGTTGGGGAATGGCTCTGTCATGGCATCCTGATGACCTGCATGTCTCTACGTAGCCCCCATAAGCAAGATTTAACTGCAGCCGGTCTGATTTAAGTCTTGGCAGAATGCCTTATGATCCTTCCAGAACAAGAGAGTATGGGAGGCTTGTGTGGAGCTGCTACAAGGCCATTCCCCACTCATTCTGTCCTCGAATTCCAAGTTCTGATGAGGTCTGCCTTCTGCCTCTTTTTTGAGGGTACAGCTGTAGGTTATAAAACTGCTTAGCTGCCGTGTAAATGCACACCACCGCTCATGTTGAACCATATGTCATCCACATCCCCTTTTGTGTTTCTACAGTCCTATGCGACAGAGGATGTGGGAAGCTGGAGCCTTTGCTCTTCTTGCTTTTGTTGTCTATGTCAGCAATAAACTCTCTGAATAGTAAAACAGAGCATCATCTCATCTCAGCCAAATCTGTCAGCCCTGCTGGACAGGTTCCCAGGCCCAATATATTCTGGTTATAAGAAAAAGAATACCATATATTGGTAGCTGTTTCAGAGCATACATTACAAGGATGTACCTCAACCTCAGGAATTATTGTATCCAGCTGGCTCCGAAGTTGAGTCCCCTGTTGATGGACATTTGGCATCTTCTTGATCTGGACCACTTCTCGGTGCTGAGATACAGGCTTCCTAGGGCTCTTCTCTATCACTCACTTCCAGAGAGTCATCTCTACTGACCTCTCAACAGAGAAATGAAATCCCTTCGAGGTTATAGTGGGTGCCAAGGAGCCAACACAAAAGGAAATCACATAACAAGGTGATTCGGAATGACCTGGGAAGATCCAGGACCTCAGGGGTAGGACTACGCCCAGCTGAGGTCACCAGGGTGTGCCTCCCAGAAGCATCTCACCTACAGAGGTCAAAGCTGCTGCAGCCCTATTGCCAGAAGCTGAAAAAACTTTGCTCAACATCAGCAGTTCTGCTTTGTCTCACTTTCCATTTTCCTACACCTCACTGCCACTGCTTCTTGCTTTTCCTACCTGTCTCTACACATCTCGTCTGACTCTTTAGGGTAATCTTGGAAGACAAGTGTTGAAGATGGCACTGCCCTCTGCATCGTAGTTCTCTGAATGACTGCGTGGGGCACAGTCCCCTCCCCTCTCCCAGTTTTCCTCCTACTCATGGCCTGGAATACTGTAGATCATCCCCACAATCAAGAAACTTCTCCTTTAGCCATTATAAATGTTCAGGGTCTAGCTCATAGAACAGATAGCCTACTCTAATTAATTAAAAAAGAAAACTGGACTCTTTGAAATTCATCTTACTTGTGAATGATCTAGCAAATAACTGGATTTAATGTTTTGCAGAAAAAAATGTCTTAAAGATTCATTTGTATGTCAAGAATTCTGATTTGAACATATCTCTTTTCCCAACATATACATGTATGTCCAGAGTAGACATTTCTAATGAGAAGAAACAGTATTTTAAAAGTGGTAAATCTTGATATTTCACACAATTCACAGTCAGGGTTGAGATGCATTGGTTATCATTTCTCTCTCTCTCTACCTTTCTAAAGAGAATAGACAGCTATGGGACTGACTTCTAGGAATTAAGGATGGTAATTCTGGGTCTGTCTTTAATTCTCCATTTGGCACTGTGAAGAGAAGAAGGAAGGAGAACCTTAAACACTTATGTGTTTTAGTTTCCTTATGTATAAAACAGAGCTGTCAGCCTTTATACTACTTTATATCTCAAGATTGTGGCAAAGTTAAAATGAGACTTTTGTTTTACAAAGTCCTTTAATAAACTACTACATATGCAATGACACTGAGAAAGTAGAAATTAGCTCAGCCTGAGAAAGGAAAAATCTGCCCTGCCATTCATGAGGCTGGAATAACAGATACGGGGAGAGCCACCCGCAAAGTTAATAGCAGACAGTATTTCTCCTAAGAACTTGCTGCAGCTGTGAAGTGTCATAACAACCCTCCTTTGAATGACCACTGCTTTCTCACTCCCAGGGGAACTTTGTTGTCAAAAGCCACACACTCTATCAGACACTTGCTGTTTGAAATGATATCAGCAAGAATAAAGCATCTCTCAACCTTGTTTGGAGGGTTTCAGTTATTTTGATAAAAAGATGTATTGTGGATTTTAATCCAGGTGCAGGTGCAGAGATTCCAGTAAGGGATTTCTGAACACAACCGTCCACATTTTCTTAACTTTGCAGTTTCCTAGTTAACAGGACCCTGGGTCCACTTCGCAATCCAGACTTGACCTTGACCTCTTTACACACAGCTCTGGCTTGCTTTGAACCTATCAAAGCACTGCTTCTTACAAATTAGACATAAACCCCACCCTTTTCCAAGCTATAATAACTCTATCTGTATCTTCATTTGGCGAAATATCCCATGATTCCTCTGACGTGTGTTACTCTCCTTTGTTGCAATGAGTCAATAAATCTGTCAGACAACAGGCTTGTTTGTCCCTAGTCATGTTAGACTGGATGAATCAGGACAGCTTGCTGGAGGACATCCACCAGAATCGAAAATTTAATTTTGCAAGTGGTTGATCTGAATCCTTGTTGAAAAAAAAAAATAGTAGGACTTCTAAACTTTTCCAGGCTTTTAGCCAAATGATAATAATATTGTTATCCAAAAGAGGAATACTTAGCCTTCTGTGCTTCCTAAAAGATAAAGAGGTAGAAGAGGATGGGTGGAAATCACTGTGTAAATTCAAGCCTTCAGTATCAATAGGCATGACAACAGGTGATCAAAACGATGTCTTTTTAAGGGTGTACTTCTACAACATCAAAATATGAGCACACTGATTTAATCAACAGCGTCCGTACTGCCAAATATGAATTCATGATTTCTTGTCTGTTTGCACATGTAGTAAAAGAAATGGCAGAGAAGGGGATTTTAATATCACTGATTCGTTTGCTGGTGTTTGGTGCTCAAAGTAAAAGGCCTCAGGGAAAAAGTAGCTCTGAATTCAGACTCCTGGAACCCTTGTACCCAAAACTTCCATGCCCTCCCTGACCCAATTTTTGGCGAGCTACAATAGAAGCTTCCTGGTTCTCTTTTCCGACATTGGTTTTCAAATAGCTGCCACAATGTTCTCTGAATAAATGAATGGATGCCCTTACTAATTGCAATGTGTGTGACCCAGCAACATAGAATTCAAAACACAGAGGGCTATGAAATTAGCCAGGAGAGTCACACGGGCTGAAACAATTTTCCTAAATTAAAGCCAAATCCACTTGATGTCCTACAAGACCATAAAACCATAAGCTTTGGGGTTATCTTTTCTACCAAATAATTTGCATCTCTACTGGACAAAAAATCTACATGTAACTTCACAAAGTTAGGCCCTAATTAATAAATTACAAATCAGGACATGCAGGCATCATTTTGCCAATTGTGGATAATTTTCCTTAATAATCTGATTGACCTTGATCTGCCACATTGAGAAAATATTACAATGCATTTGGTTAACAATTATAATTTACACAGGCTCAAACAGTTAAGAGCCCTGTAAGGTTACAGGTGAATTACAGAATTGATATGACTTTATAGCCTAGTAGAGAAGTTAACCCCAAAGGTGGCATTCCTTTATTCTTCTACAGAAAGCCAACCAGCTATATACCTAATTTAGTAATCTTAATTGGAAATTCATTTTTACCAACCACATATTTCTCTGTTCCTTAATGCTCTTAAGTTAGCAATTTGATCTTTCTACTGACAATTCTATGTGATCATTGCTGCTGTCTGTAGAAAGCAATCAATCCCTTGGAAAACTTGGTGTTTGGCCAAGGAAGCCACATAGAAGAAAATTCCTTAATAAGGAAACTATGAAAGACCGGTAAAAATCATGTAAAATTTCAGGCATTCTACTCCTCTCTTTAAATTCAACTGATCCACTACATTAATGTTGCTTTTGTCACAGGCTGCAAAAATTTACCCAAGATGGGCAGTTTTGCTATGTCTTGCTCTGCCTTTTCTTACACCTCAATTTTCTACTTCTCTTTTGCACTAATCTCTACGTCTTTTTTCTGCCTCTATTTCTCATCCAGGGCAACACTGGAAGATGGGTCCCTGAATGTGTGTGGATCACGGTCGTCTCCCCACCCTCCCCTGCTTGCCCCCAATCCCACTCAACCTCCCAGAACCTGTTCAGATTGTTTCCATGAGTAGCAATCGGCTTCTAGTTTTTAAACATTTATTAAAAACAGATGGTTGGAACGTCCTGAAAAATAAATTTAGTTTTTTCTTATGAAAATGATAGCAAACAATTCAAATTAATCCTTTGTAGGAAAAAAAATGTACACTTTGACACTGAGTTGTCTTATTTGCTACTATACCTAATATGTGTTTCCAAATTAATTTTGTTCATAAAATCCATGGGAGAGAAACAGCAATTGCTTAATAAAAGTTATAAATCCTGTAACAACTAACACTTGCAGGTGTGTTTGATTATTATTTCCCTTTCTTTCTTCTAAATGAAATAGAT